AATCCAACGGGCTTAGATCCGGAAACTGTGGGGCCACTCAATACTTCCTCTTCTTCCAATCCTGGAAACCTGGAAACGTCTGATCCAAATACTGACGAACAGTGGCGCACCGTCATGCTGGAATATTAAGTTGTTCGCTATGTACTGATCGTCATTTTCAATCAACTCTAGTAATGCTGGATAAGTAGCGTTTTTTAATAACTACAGATACATTTCTGTGATTAAAGTTTTTGGTAAAAATAGGGGCTCATTATACGGTTACCAAAAATGCCAGCCCAAACATTCACTTTTCTGGATGTTATGTATGCACTTCATGAAATATTCTGGGATTTGAATCGGACCAATAACGGCAGTTGTGAAGATTTACCGTACCATTTAGGAAAACAGTGCATTGTCTGAATAACACACGTGTTGAAAAGAAATTGCTGATCATTTAATGCCCGTTCAGTCATAATTTCACAAAATTGTAATCGCCTATCAAAATCGTCTTCGTTAAGTTCTTTTACCAGATGTATTCTGTAGGGATGAAAGTTGTGTTTTTTCAATATCTTCTTAATACCAGATGTTATCGCCAACTGTCTTGTACTCAATATGGGTTCTTGAACATATCCTAAAATTGCCACCTCTGTAGCTTCATTTACTACATAATTTTCCATTTCACGTCATTTGTTAGCTACTGACCTCGTTTTCCAAAATGTTTGTACTAACTCTAAAATGTAGTTGCGATGGACTTCGATTTTGATTGTTAAACAGTTTTAATAGCACATTATTGTTCGCAAAAAAGTGAAATTATTTGCACCCTCTCAGCAATAGAGTAAACCATTATCACTGATATGCTACTTTTATGCCGACTCTATAACGAAATAAACAAACCTTACTACTTTACGGCAACCAAAGAATGTCATCTGATAACAATAATTGAAAGCCACAGGAATAAAAGTGGAATTGTTACAAATAATTCCTTTTTTACTTTCCAATCTGTATGAAATCCGTTTTTCGCGATGATGTCTGTGTGTGTGCGCGTGCTTGTGTGCGCGTGCGTGTGTCTGTATCCACCATAACTCATGAACCGATACAAAGAAAAACACCAAATTTTAAACTTAAGCTTTATTCTAGCGTCCAATAAACTGGTTAGATTTTGGGCAGAGTCGGAACATCTGGAGGGGTACTTTATAGGTGGTAATTTTTATATTTTATGGAATATGTCTGTTATTTACGTTTGGAGAAGAAAATTCTTCAAATAAAAGTTTCTTACAATATTATTATCAATACACCGTAATGGAAAAATTGGAGGAAAAGTCCTAAATTTAAATTTTTCAGTATTTTCGTTTTCAATGAATATCTATAGAAAAATGTTTCAAGGTAGATGTATGTGGAAAATGTATATATTTAGTTTATCCTCTAAACATTATAGAGGTGCTGTATTAGGTTGTACAAAATAAAAGCCTATAATAACTAGATAGGAAAGTCATGTATTGGACACATCAGATTTTTTAATTATAATGTAAAAATTATGTTTAACCGGTTTTGTACTTTTGGTAAGCCACTGTATGGGCTACATAGATAGTAGCGATGTAAAACTCGGTGGTTATTATTTAGGTAAAAATACATATAATTTGACCAGTCTTTCCATTTAAGATATAACTGGTGAGTCTCAACCTCCGCTCAGGGGGTGAAACTGCCAAAACAATGTTTCCCCTAAAAAACAAAATTGATAGGTCCAAGCGTTTTTTAGTAATGACCTGGTGTCTCGTCAGCAATACTAGAGAGCTGTTTCTAACGGTGCTTGATCGGGAGCAACTTTCAAATGTTCTCCCTTTTCCCCTCAAGCATTTGCTCAATGGCATATGTACAAACATCTTGTCTTGATAATTGTAGAACGTTATTAATCTTTCTTTTTGACGTCATAGGGTTTTATACACAATAAACCCTTAAGTCTAAGTTCAACGCGTTGTCTATGACAAGTCACGGCGACTTTTTTATCACAAAAAATACAGCTCCGAACGGTAATATTTTATTGAGGCATCTGTCGCTATACCAACTTGGGTTACGACAGCTTCTTCATTTCACTTATTGACACTTTTTGTTCTCGTTATGCTATGGGTGCTCCGCACCCTGTTTAAAATTGCTCTGGGTGCTTGCGCACCCAGAGCTCCGGGAATTCGGCGCCTATGATTGTAGTTAGGACATATTTGCGTAGAAGAAAATTGTAGATGCATGTCTGCATCACAAATATGCCTTTAACTCAGAAACTGAAATTTTGTCAGATAGGACATTTTAGCTTAGCAGGGCAGAAAAGCACCAGACGGGCCAGGTTCACATAGTAATAGGTTTTGTAAATCGTCAGAAGTATCTTGGGGAATATACACTGGATCGTCGTCTAAAGAGCAAGAAAAAGGATGGATCTTCTTTATCTTCAACCGCGTCTGCAAATTACCTATGTTATTTTCAAATAAAAAAGTAAAACAACGGAAACTTACCATCTCTATCAGATTGATCTGTTTGTACTAAACCTTTTCTCCAGCTATTCAATATGTTTTTCTTTCACTTCCACTACAAGACTAATAAAAACAACACAAACGTGCTAAATTAATAAAAACTAGTATTAATCACAAATGACCTTGGTGGGTATTACCTAGTGTCTGCTGATATGCTTCGTCCAGGCCAAGGCAGACACCCGAGGCACTCATACTTATGGTAGGGCCAGAGTAGACACCTATGTCTGCTGCAGAGATAACAGGAGGTGTATATAATATATGCTGTTGTCACATTAATAATAATAATATTCTTTATTTGCAGCTAAATAAAAAAAAATACATAATACAAGAAATAAAGAAAACATATCATACCTAAAAAATGTATAACTGCAAAATAGAGCCGACAAACAGTAAAAACTGATACAAAGTGTCGGACCTAGCAAACAAAAACAAACAAAAAAAAATTAGATTAAAAAATAATTAAATATCATATAACACTATTTTAATTAGTTAAGAGAGAAAAATATAATGTTATGTTATCGAATTATATAAAATCCGTTTATATTCTTTTGAGAAAAGACTGATTCCAAATTGTTTAATAGTCTGGGAAATACCATTATAATAATAATAATATTAATAATAATAATAATCGTCTTTATTTCCAGTAATTTAAAGTAAATACAATAAAATAATACATATATACACGGGCGAAGTTTATTTTTGGTTGTGCACTAGACACAACAAAAATATTCTTCCACTTAACCCGCGAGTAAACCTGCATATAACCATAGAGCAGAAATAAACAATCAAAGACAAAATAGATATAACATATAACTATATCAAATAAATAAACAACTGTAATTTTAACATTTAACAAACAAATGAAAATGCACTTGTCTCAGGAAGGCTGAATCCAATGAAAAAAAAACATAGCTAAGTAGGGCAAAAAAATATCAAAAACAACAACCAATGAAAGCGGGAAGTTGTATAGCTTGTAAATATTATAAGAAAAGACCTTTGAAACATACTGGTATGATTTTATGAAATAAAGTTGCCATATGTAATTTCCGTCTAGAAGACATATTCAACCATTTAGCATCACGCAGTTTATGAGTTATTCTATCATATTTTCTGATACCGTAAATGAAGCGTAAACACGATTTTTGTACTCTTTGAATTCGATTAAAATCGATATTATCTATACAAGGGCCATATACGCTGTCACAATAATTGAAATGACTAAGTATAAGCGTATCACAAAGCAGGATTTTAACTGAAATATTTAGACTGTGTCTATGTGGGAATAACATCTTTAAATTAGCATACGATTTTTGAATACACTTTGTAACATGCTGTTTGAATCTAAGTTCACTATCTAGTTCGATACCTAAGTTTCTAACAACTTTAGCAAATGGCAAAATTGTATCTTCTATTTTAATTTGCAGTTCATTTTCCACTTTACTTTTATGTTTGCCAAATACTAAAACTATAGATTTAGATGGGTTAATTGAGAGAAAATGTCTTTTTGATTCAGTAGACAATTTGGTAAGGTCATTATTAATCATTAAATTGGTATGCTGTATCTCTGAACTAAAGAGTATTTTAGTTGCGTATCATCTGCATACATATAAGACTTGCAATGACTTAAGACATTATGGATGCTACATGTATACAGTGAAAATAGTATTGGTCCCAAAATAGATCCTTGCGGCACTCCACAGGAGATAGATTTATTATCCGACCTACCGACACTAGTCTCGACAAACTGACACCTACCACACAGATAGCTCCTAGCATTATTGGAGAAACCTATATACTTTAAAATAGCTAACAAAATTTGGTGATTGATAGTATCAAAGGCTTTCGAGTAGTCTATCAAAGTTAAAGCTATTGTCTTTCCGTGATCAATATTAATTATCAATACCATCTTGTATTCCTTAGCTTTGATTTCCTACCAAGTTTGTCATAATTAATTGAAACTTAAAAACAATAATCGTTGAACTTTGGGTTTAATTTTTGTAGCCATTTGGCAGCTTACCGAATATAATTACAAGAACGTTCATTAACATTTATTGGACTGATAAACTTTGACAAAGCTTGTGAATGTGATCAGTCTGCGTGACATGAACTTCAAATTACCCACAGTCAAAGTTTATCATGCTCATAGATTTTGAGACAATAAAACGCAAAATCAGTACAACACAGATTTATTTAATTTAGACCGGAAGTAATACATTTTAATGATCATTCTTGTAGTCAGATTTAAATTTCCGATTATGTCTACATAGGTGGGGCGTTTACCGGTAGCGGACACTTAACAGGAAAATAGTAAAAGTCAATTTGGAGTAAGGAGGTTATCCGTATCTCAAAGGAAATTTCCTTTAATAGTCAAATTTGTTTGTCATAAATACGTACCTTTTGGTACAATTAGTTTAATTTTTAATGCAATTTAAACGCCTGATTGCTAAGTGTATCCTTAAGGCTTTAAAATGATCTCTACCCGGTACCATTTTGTCCACTTAGTCAGCTAGAGTTAGCAGCAATAAGAGAAAGTTAGAAGATGATGATGATGAAGAAGACGACGATATCCCTTTGGCCGCTAGAAAAAAACCGAAAATAGAGAAGAAAATCAAAAAGGAAAAGAAGAAAAAGAGAAGCTTCGATGATGAAGAAGAAGAGGAAGACTTTAAACCCGAAAAAAAACCGAAAGTGAAAAAGGAAAAGGATAAGAAGAAAATTAAAAAAGAAGTCTCTCAACCGGAAAGTCCTGTTAAAGGCGGTAGAAAAAAGAAAGAAGAAGAAGAGGTCGAAGTCTGGAAGTGGTAAGTAAAAAATTAATTAATAATAGAGATTGTGATTTGTTAATTTTTTCGAAATTCCATTCTGAATAAAAAACTAATTTCAACTCGAATACATCTCACGTTTATAAATTACAACAAATTATGCACACAAAAACTTCTTAACAGTGAGGAATTATTACAATTACATTATAACGCCAAAAAGATCATAAGATATTTCAGCAAATGCTTAATTTTCGAGATACAGGGTGCTCTAATTAAATTTTAAAATATTCTTAAAAGTTTTTTAACTTATTGCATTAAAAATTGGTATATGGGGATTTTTGGTGTCCTAACACCTATTAGGGATACTACTGTTTTAGTATAGACGCTAGGAGGCGCTATGTATTGTACTTTTTACGTATTAATTGATCATGACGTTTTCTTAGTGTATGTGCTTTGACTTTTTTAATATATTATTGAAGACCCTGTATAGAGTCTTGATATTAATTTTAAAAGTTCTGTATTAAAGTCCTACAAAAAAAAACGAATTGCACTGTATACATGTATTATAAGCCATTCAAATTTATTAATATAGAATGAAATATAAATAAAAACAGATTTCAATTTAGGTACTAATTTAAAGCACATTGGGGTATATTCTGTAACAATTCCTTTATATTTTAACGGCCGTTAAAATATTAAAGGCCTTTAAAAAGAGTTTCGTATTCACTAACTTACTTCTGTCATTATTTAAACAGATTCCTTTAAAATAGTCCTCTAAAAATAATTGTTTTTAAAGGGATGTTAAAATTCACCTTTAATTTTTAACGGAACTGTTGATGGCGTTTTATAATAAAATTGGAGAAAGTTTGATTGAAGTCGAGTTACTGGAAAATGAAGAAAGGTATAAAGTACGAAACATTTATATGTAATGTAGGTAGATATATCTATTACATTTAATACCTACTTCATTGCCAAATTTCGATTACATTTAAAGGTTAATTAGGGACTTGAGCGATCCATTTCAGTCACCAAATGTTAATTTTAAAAATATTTTTCGGTTCAATAAAGATGTGACCAGAACTATAGTTAATATTAAAAACCAGCATATTTTAAAAGTACTTGCAACCCTACATTTTTTTTTGGAACAGGAGGATAGAGGATACCAATTCTATCTACAGGACAGGCATGTCCTTTTTCTTTTAGTCAATCAATTGTATGAGTAGAAGTATAGATGAAGTGAAAATATAATTTACAATAACCTATTACCCAATTGGAGTGTATTTTCTGAATCTGAGAAAATAATAAACAATTTCAAGACAAATATAATTTTCCTATTATTGATTGCACTCATATTGCCCCCCGGAGGATTATCCAAGTTTGCCATTTTACTGGAGAAACGGTTATAACAAACTGTCAAATAATTGCAACAGTGATTTAAATATAATAAATATGAATACTAGATTTCCTGGATCCACATATGATGCAGCAATTTGGCAAGCTGCAAATGTAAGGGTAACCATGGAAAATCTCTATACTACAGGAAACAATAATTATGTCCTTTTAGGAGATTCTAGTTATCAATTGCAACCTTCTATTGTCCATTTGAAAATCATAGAAAATAGCCCAGAAAGTAACTATGAACAAGGAATATCATAGAAACCTACTTTACGAGGTCTAAAAGGAAGTAATTATGCACATTTGTTAAAAATATCCATTTTGTAGATACAACCTCTTGTTTTAGCACAGCATGGCAGTGCATAATCGTTTTTTTTTTATTTGATTTATATTCTATTTGAGTATTCGTATTAATATTTGTTAATCCATACTTACTTCATAATAAGTGATCCTGTATCGTTGTAAAATAAAAAAATCATGCACATTATTGTATTTATTGAGTATAAAAACATTAAAATGGAAATAAATAGAACTATTAATTTTTTACAAAAAAAAAATAAATATTCTGATGAATAAAAAAAATAAATATATATTCTGGTAAATAAAAAAAATAAATATATATTCTGGTAAATAAAAAAAAATAAATATAATTCTGGTAAATAAAAAAAATAAATATAATTCTGGTAAATAAAAATAATAAATAGATATTCTAGTAAATAAGATTTTCTAGTAAGAAAAAAAATAAATATTCTATTAACAAAATTGTATAATATACAATTATTTTTTTGCTAAATTGTTAATTGATTTTGCCAGAACCCTTATTGACTTGGCAATGGCAAAATTGGATTGGCTTAAGATTTTTAATTGTTCATCATGGGTGGTCATTGCCACCTCTGTACGGTTTCTGGTTGTTAATCTCCTTGGTCTAATCCTGGTTTTGCGAGTCTGTCTCATTTTTTCAACAATAATTGGTGGTTGAACATTTTCATCCTAAAAATAATAGAAGGGAGTCACTTTAATCTTTCAATTTGTGTATACTACTACTACTACTACTATATAATAATAATACTCCTTACAATTCACCCCTTACACGAGTAAATCTTAACCCCATAGGCCATGGCACACTAGGGTTACCAGATGAAATCCTATCCATATAAGTTTTTAAAAAATTCGGACGTTATAAATTTTTTTCTGAGAAAGTAAGAAATGTGATATTTTTCACATTATTTACTTTGACATGGTTCTACAAAATAAAGCAAAAAACAGACAACAGAAAGTTACAAGGTTAAACAAAAAAAAAAAAAGGAACAGAATACCCTTACTACTTTTTGCTAAACTGTATTTTATTTAATAGTTTTAAATTTTCTGGTAAAAGCATTAAATCCTAAAACAGCTTATATTTTTAATTATTAGTCATAAGTAATCCTTTTATAGGGGCCAAAAACAGTATATTTCTTTTATTTTTTCACTGGGCTGCAATAAGTGATAATATTTCACATTGTCATTGTGGGATGGGATTGCAGAAAGAATTTCAGCTGCTTTTAACAACTCTAAAAAAAACTTCTGTAGCAGCTTAGTTAAGGGGGTTTTACACTACAGCTTTTAATGATGGCATTTTTCTAATCTACTTGAGTTTTCTGTTTTTTTCTTTGTTATTGTTAAAAAAAACTATTTTAAAATCCGGATGCTTACGCAAAATCCTCCTGGTCACACCTAAATGTAGTAAAAACCCGGATATGTCAGGGCAAATCTGGACGTCTGGTAACCCTAGTTCCAAAGCAACTTAATACTTAGAAAGACCCATCCACCATCATTAACAGGGTAACCTACAGGGATTAATAAATCTGGATGTCATATCAAATCAACAGAAAATAATTTACTGCTAATACCCCACCCATTAAACCTACAACGAAACCATGTAAATTAATGAAAAATTCACAAAGTTTGCTGTTGAATTTAACCTGCATCAAGTTTTACTTTAAAGACTAGTAATTACATGCACAGTCGCTTGATAAATATTAAATTGGCTTACCACTCCAGTGATTAAATATTCATCATTTACTGTTTCCTGCGAGGTTTCCTGATTTTCAAGAAAATCAGTGAAACTAATTTCAATAGTTTCACTCTCCGGATGGTCGTCATTTAATTGAAGCTCAGGCTGGACATATAGTCCAGCTTCTACAATGTTTACACCTTCTATAGAAATTTTTGAAATTAGAGCTAATACTCTCTCTTCCAAATCTGTAAGAGGTTTTACAGATGGTCCTCCTCCAGTGCCTACATGTGCATACTTTATGTCTCTCGCACGGCGTCTCACACATGTTTTCATTTCACTGACTACCTAAGAAAAAAAAATGTTTTTTAACAGTGCACTTAGCGTGCCTTGTATTACTTACATCCTTCCATTGTTTTATGGTCTTAGCTGGCCCAATTTTATTTAACTCGCTTGCAAAGTGTTCCCATACTTTGTTTAATTTTGTAACATCCAACGGGTTTATTTTCCCACCATGAAGTAAACTATTCTCTTCTAACAAATTAATTATCAACTCCTTTTGTTTTTTGGTAGTACGTGGTGCACGAGACATTTTTTATTTTACACGTGCCTTCTTTTGTTTATATAGGCGAGTTCGGATAGTCAGGGGCTGGAGCGGGACAAAAGCAGAGTTTTTTTAGGGTGCGTTTAAATGACATTTAAGCATGTTAAACTGTCACTAATCGGACTAAACCGAACGCTAAAAGGGTCGTTTGGAGTAAAAAGTGTTAAAGGAGTTAAAGGAACTTGGCAGACCGAACGCAATGAGAGTGGAACAGGGTTGTTTTCAAATTTTATTCTAATCCTTCAAAATTAGTTCAAATGAATCTGTAATGCGATGTTGTCAAGATCTCAAATGTTCTCCTGTCATTTTTAAGGAACTCCGTTAAAATGAATAATTTTTAACAGGCCTCTAAAATTTGTGTATACAGAATACCATTTTTGGGTAAAGAAAATAACGGATCGCTAAAAGTTCAATTTTTAAAGGCCTCTAAAATTTAACGGTTTAAAAACATTTCTTTATTCACTAAGTACTGTCAATATTTAACAGGATACCTTTAAGATTTATTATTTTTAAAAAGGGTTCTTAAAATACACCTTTAAGTTTTGATATAAAGTAAAATGGCGTTTTATGATGTAATTGGAGAAGTTTTGATAGAAGAAATACTCGAAAATGAAGAAAGGTTTGAAGTAGATAATAGTTTTAATATAAAGCTAATACCTACATTTAATATTTCAGGGCAGAATTTAGGTTACATCAAAGGTCAATTAGAGACTTAAGCGACCCATTCGAATTGCCAAATGAATATTTTAAAAACATTTTTAGATTTACTAAAGATGTAACCCGAATTATAATTAATCTCATAGAACCACACATGTTGCCAACACAAAGGAATACTGCAATACCATCATGTATAAAGATACTTGCCACTTTACATTTTTTTGCAACTGGAGGATACCAACTATCTACAGGTCAGGGATATAATTTTGCAATTAGTCAACCAACTATGAGTAGAGCTATAGATGAAGTGACTAATATAATTTACAGTCATTTATTACCAATTTGGATTGTTTTTCCAGATTCGGAAAATAAAAGAAACCAAATTATAAACAGATTTCAGGAAAAATATAATTTTCCTAGATGTTTGGGGGCTATCGATTGCACCCATATTGCAATTATTTCACCTCCTGAGGACTATCCAAGTTTGCCATACTATTCTAGAAAAGGGTATTATAGCATTAACTGTCAAATTATTGTAGACAGTGATTTGAATATATTAAGCATGAATGCTAGATTTCCTGGATCTACTCATGATGCAGCAATTTGGCAAGCTTCAAATGCAAGAGTACTAATGGAAAATATGTACATTCAAGGAAACAATTGTTTTCTCATAGGAGATTCTGGCTATCCATTGCAGCCATTTTTATTGACTCCATTTGAAAATCCTGAAGAAAATACCCCAGAGAGTAATTACAATTATTCTTTTATTCGAGCCAGAACTGTTGTAGAAAGATTGAATGGAGTCTTAAAGTCCAGATTTAGATGTTTACTAAAACATCGAGTTTTAAATTATGATCCAGTAAAAGCAGGAAAAATAATTTATAGTTGTGGAGTCCTGCATAATATTGCTCAATATTATAAAGACAACATTCCAGAGGAAGACATTGAAGATATGGATGGAGACAATGATGGACACATTTTATTTCCCAGAAATGAGAATTGGCTTAGAAGGGGAGAGGAAGTTCGCAATGAAATTGTACAACAATTTTTTTATAATTGATATATTTTACAATAATTATATTGTTTGATCTTTTTCAATGATATATGAAGTCAAGAATACAATGACAATTTCAGAATTTTTAATATAGTCTGTATTTGTTTATTTTTGTCATTTTAATTATTTTTTATTTCACATCCTACATTATTATATAGTATCGAACGCTTTCCAATATGGTTTGTGCTTGTGAAAACAACAGAGAGTTAGCAGATAAGTTTTTCCTACTGGAAAACGAACAAATAATATCAGCAATGTTAGTTTATACCACCCGGCCACATTCTTACATTGGCCGGGCAACTAGCAATGTTATTCGTTTCCTGTTCGCTTTAATACTAACTCTCTGTAGTTTTCACATGCATTTGTGCAACACGTATTGGAAAACGTTCAGTGGCAACACTGTATAGTAGATAACAATTATTAATGGATTCTTTAGACAAAATATAGAAGTTATGTGTGTTTGTTTTTTATTTAATACTGAAAACATTAAAATAATAAATATAAACTTTAGTCTACTAAAAACAAAAATATTTTCTAATAAAAACAACAAATAATCAAATTTTCTAATAAAAAATAAATAACTTTCTAACAAAAATAATTTTTCTAATAAAAAAATAAATAATTTTGATAAATAAAAACTATTGTCAAAAAAAATTAAAATAAAATAAGTTCTGTAAAAAATACTGTTTTTCTGAAAATATTCTATGGAAAGTTTTCTTTATCTTTTCAAAAATACACTAAGTTAATAATAAGTTTTTCGGTCATATTAAAAGAATTTGCCAGTGTCCTTATGGATCTAGCAATGGCAAAATTTGATTCGCTTAAAACCTTTATTTGCTCAATTTCGCCTTCGTTTAATGGGTTTTCTTAAATTTGGTGCTAGTGTTATGCCTCTAATTTGTTGTTCATTATTTTCATCCTAAAAAGTAATAAAATAAATTTAGTTTTTTTCTAGCTTTCCATAAATCTTTAATATTTTATATCAAATTTCTGAAAACATCAAATTAACTTACCACTACAGTAAGTATAAACTCTTCCTTTTCATTTATTACACATGGCTCTTCAAAAATGTTAATAATAGCATCACTTTCAGGGGGCTCATCAGTCAATTGAAGCACAGTCTGGGTTTCTATTTGTCCTGCTTCTTCCATCAGGCTTACACCTTTGACATCTCTGGCACGTCGTCCGACAGTGGTTTTCATTTGACTGACAAACCTAAAACATTTTTTTTTTAATAAAGTGCACTTATTTTACGTTGTGTATTAGGAACTTACGTCTTTCCACTGCCTCACTGTTTTAGCTGGGCCAATTTTACTTTATTCGGAAGCTACATTTTTCCAAGCACTTTTTAATATTGGAATATCCATGTTCCCGATTCTTCCACCGAGGAGTTTTTCCTGTTCCAACAAAATAATCAGCATTTCTCTTTGTTCTTCAGTCGTCCTTGGAGCGCGAGACATAGTGTTTTAAATTTAATGTTACATAAAATGCAAGAACGACAAACCCTATTCAAAAATATAATCTCAAAACAATGCCAGATAACCACAATAATGTTACAATTTTAAATTGTTTGGTTATGTGTTCTTTTTCTCTTCTTAAATGGACTACTCCCATTCGTAACTTAGGTCAAAATTAGTTCAAATTAATCTTAATCACTGATCAATGCGATGTTGTCAAGCGTTCCCCTTATATTTTAAAGGACTCCGTTAAAATTGGTTAAAATTTGGCTTCCTTAAAATTTGTGGATACAGAATACCATTTTCCATTAAAAAAATTAAAGGGCGGCTAAAAGTTAAATTTTTAAAGGCCTTTAAATTTTAAAGGATTTTTTACAGAATAGACCCCATTAACTGAGAAACAAATGCCCATAGGAAATATATTTATATTAAAATATCTCCTTATCTCTCTAGTCCCAAAGTTAAGACATGAACTTATGACACATCCTGAATAATAAAAATTGTGCTTATCAACTTTCATTTATATTAAAATATCTTATCTATCTAGTACCAAATTTAAGACATTAACTTCTGACACAGCCTGTATAATAAAAATAAACATTGATGTTATCAACTTTTTTATAACTGAAAATTTTTAATTTTTACTCCTATTTCCCCTATTAAAAGTAATCTTCGAGTCTTCTACCGACGTTGCCAAGCGTTCAGAAAAATCATAAGTATGTTTTATATAAAAAAATCTAAGAATACGTTTCTTAAATTATTGGACAAATAAATGGCATTTTAAAATAATAGCAATAATTAAAATCAAACTAATATTAAATAATTAATTTAAAAAGATTTGTTACTTTTAATTTATTAAAAAAAAAAAAATATTAATTTATATACTTTATTATTTTTATTGGTCACAAAAAAGTAAAAAGTCGTTTTCTTTAGATTACCAGTACCTACATTAGAAAATAAAAATATCAAGTAGTATTTTTATTCATCTAACATTTATTACTTTGTTATTGAGATAGGTTTCTACGTAGTTAATGAGATATTTATTTTTTATTCACAAATCAAGGGCAGTCCAAATTTGTACGCATAATTATCCCGTTTTATTCAATAATTTTTTTAGTGCGAATGTGAATGACCTTAAAAATCTTTACAGTATTTAAATTTGAAAAACTGTCAACAGCGCGTTACGTCACCTAATGGCGGACCTCGTGGCTGGTGACAACGCTATGGATATTTTAATTATTTTTATATACCAATAATTAAAAAGTATTATGTTTAGAAAATTAAGTTTGGTATACAAAAATTCTCTGATAATAAATTGTATCAACCATTTGCACATTTCGGAATTTAGTGGAAACAATGTCGTTCGATATAAAGTGAGGTTAAAATGTGTTAAATCTACGAATGATGTACATAAATCGAATAATTTACGAAAAAGAAATGTTCCGTTAGTAAAAAATCTGAATGAAAATGTGTTAGAACGAACTACTACAGTAATGAAAAGGTATTCGAAAGTGAGTGGTTTACAAAGAAAAAAACTAGGTTAGGTAATCTAATTTTACTACAAAGTTTGTTGTAAATTAGGTATTATGGGTAAAATGAATCGTTTTGGGTTTGAAATTTAGATCTAGAAAACTTTTTTGAGAAATGTGTTTATTTAAAATCAGAAAGTAACTTTGAATTTACATTTAAATCGTGCCCCTTGATTTGTTCATAGAGACAAACTTACAGTCATCAAATAGATATAAATGTTTGAGCAAAATGAAGGGTTAAGAAATTACTAATTAAGGTGATTAAAAATCTGCTCTGTTTATTAGTTGTGGATAATATGAACTTTGATGGAACTTTGAAACAGACATTTTTGAAATATTACAAGCATTGCTATGGTCCAATTACAATTAAAAGAACACAGTTACGTCATTGTTTGTCAAAGTAATTAATTAAAATCATAAAACGAACTTAGGTTCAATTTTCGTGTTACATTTGTTAAGAAGGGGGTACAGAGGTGGTCACATATAAATTTGGTCAAGATCTGGTGATGGAATCCATGAGAAAATTAGCAAACTCAATTTATAATTGACATCTGCAAGATTTTGAAGTCTGTTTTTTAAAATTATTTTTATAACTTGTTGATAACAAAAATATTTCAGGTGGGAAGAAGAAAAGAAAGATGAAGGTGTTAAATGGAAATTCCTGGAACACAAGGGTCCTGTTTTTGCTCCACCTTATGAACCCCTACCAAAAAGTGTCAAATTTAAATATAATGGAAAGGTGGTGGAACTTTCCCCAGAAGCCGAAGAAGTTGCTGGTTTCTATGGTAAAATGTTGGATCATGACTACACAACCAAAGACGTATTTAACAAGAACTTTTTCAAAGACTGGAGAAAGGTAAAACATAGCTGCTGATAAGTTGTGTGAAATAAATATACAGTATTAAATTATTTCTTATTCTATTATTAATTTTGCGCTTTTTCTATTTATTTTGTACGAGATACACAATGTTCAGTCGTTTTATGACTGGAAAAATGTTTGCTATTAATTATTTAATTTATTGAATTTTTTAGGTAATGAACGAGGAGGAACGGGAACTAATAACAGATTTACAAAAATGCGATTTCAATCAAATGAATGCCTACTATAAGGAAGTGTCAGAAAAGAACAAAAACAGATCTAAAGAGGAAAAGAAAGAACTCAAAGAGAAGAATGAAGCTTTAATAAAAGAGTATGGTTTTTGCATTATTGATGGACACAAAGAAAAGATTGGTAACTTCAGATTGGAACCTCCAGGTCTTTTTAGAGGTAAATATATCAACTTAAAGACATATTTCAGTCTTATCACAAAGCAGATACAATTAGTAATTTGATTAATAATAAAAAAAATCCTAGGTAGAGGTGAACACCCAAAGATGGGCAAACTAAAGAAACGTCTGAACGCCGAAGATATAATCATCAACTGCAGCCAGGATTCCAATATACCAAAACCTCCTTCTGGTCACAAATGGAAGGAAGTGCGGCACTCGAACACGGTCACTTGGCTCGCATCTTGGACGGAAAATGTTCAAAATCAAGTCAAGTATATCATGTTAAATCCGAGTTCTAAATTGAAGGGAGAAAAGGATTGGCAGAAATACGAAAATGCGAGAAGGTTGCATAAGTGCATTAATAAGATAAGAGATGATTATCAAAAGGTTAGTTGGATGAATTTGAACATCGAATATATTAAGTTATAGTCCAGGATCCGTAAGTAGGGTCGACCTTCACCCATCTGTTTAATGGAAAAAACTTATTTTTTATTAAATAAAATATGTTTTTAAATATACTGCAAATGGGTTGCCTAAGAAAATACGGTCACGCCCATTTTTTACTTTCCTTTCTGTGTACAGATAAGAAAAGTATAAAAATCATGATAAAAGTTGTTTATGATGTCATTATCTATTATTTTGTTCCTATACATGATTTTCCTAAAATGGACCTAATTTGAGATATTTGAGGAAAAGTGCAAATTTCGAATTTTGAAGACAACTCAAAAACGGACCAAGAGAAAAACACCAAATTTTAAATTTAAGCTTTTATCCATCCTGCAGTGAGCTGATTAAAGTTTGGGCATAGTTGAAGCATCTGGGGAATACTTTACAGGGTGTCGTTTTTTTTTTTACTTTAAGAAAAAAATACTCTGGACCGTATTTTCTTAGGCAACCCATTTTCGGTATATTTATAAATTTATTTTATGTGATAAAAAGAAACTTTCATCCATTAAACAGATGGGTGAAGGCCAACCTTACTTCAGATCTTAGACTATTAGAATAATTTATCATTATAATAATAATAATACTAATACTTTAATAATCCTTTTAGATCATATACATGATATATGATATACTTGTAAAGATGTACAATAGTATACATTTACAAAACAGATAAAATCTAACTAACACATTTAAATATACAATTTAACAATAAATACACAAAATTAAAATTAGGACTAATATGCTTGAAAACACCCATATGACATAGGCCTCGCCATACTAAGATTCCATACTGTAGTATAGATTCTACTAGACTGTAGTATAATGTTATTATTTTAAGTGCTGGTCTATAATTATACCTAAATATTTCGATGTTTCTGTTTCCTGTATGTCTAAATTTTGACATGTTAAGCTTCTAAATTGAGGTCGATCAGCCACTGTCTTTGAAAAAGCAGTGTAGTTTGTTTTGTTAACATTCAAAGACAATTTAAAAACATCCAGCCAGTTTTTGACATGTTCCATTCCAGCTATAGCACGTGTCTTGACAACTTCCCAATTTTTATCACTGAAGATTAGCACTGTATCATCAGCATATGATACAACTTTACCTTGAATATCAATCTGAGTTAAGTTCTTAATGTATAAATTAAATAGTATAGGTCCCAGAACAGTCCCTTGAGGTACTCCGATTTGTATATTTTTCTGTTGTCTGTGTCAAATAATTTTCAAAAACCTTCAACACGGTGCCCCTCGCTCCATTCTGTTCAAGAACATTTAAAAGCTTCTGATGTGGCACCATGTCAAATGCTTTTGCTAGATCTAGAAATATAGCTATATGCTTGTTACCAGTATTCATTTCATCAGTAACATGAAATTAATTCATGCATAGCATCTCCTGAGTTATTAAGACCCTCAGTAAAGCCATATTGGTGCTTGGGAAGTAAGTCATTAGTTTTTAAAAAATCTGTCAGTCTATCTTTCACACATTTCTCAAATATTTTGGCCACATTACTAATTAAACTAATAGTTAGTTATTAATTTTGGATTACCAGCTTTATAAATAGGTGTTATAATTGAGGTTTTAAATTGTTTAGGTACAATTCCTGTATTAAAAATACAATTAAATACAATATGCATTAAAGGTTCCAGTAAATACGGATGTAGTAGTTTCAGATGTTTTACTGTTATACAATCAAATCCCAGGGCACTATTGTTTTTTAAACTATTTATGTGTTTTATAATATTGTTTTCGCATATCGGTTTCAGAAACATTGATTTTTCAGTGACACAGGAAAATCCACATTACATTCAGGGATGGGATATTTGTGAACATATTAGTGCCAATAGTCAAAAAGTAGTTATTGCAGTAATTGGCCATTTCATTATCATTTTCAAATTCCTCATTATGTTGGTTAATCTGTAAATTGGTATTATTTTTTTTATGATTTTCATTAGTTGCTTCAGAGATTAATTGATAAGTTTTTTCAGATAATTTTTGTTTTGGTTTATTTTATTGTTATAATAGTCATTTTTAGTTTTTGATATTAGTTTGTTTAAATTATTTCTAAATGTTTTATAGTGAGTTGGTTTGTTAATAGTATAGTTTTTTGTATATCTTTTTTAAGTTTATCCCTAGTTTTAATAGAATTAATTAAACCATTTGTTATCCATGGCTTTATTTTTTTATGGATTTTAATTTTAATATTTTGAGTGGTTTGACATGTTTCAATGGTATTAAGATACGTGTCATAAAAAAGTGGTGTTGCAATTTCTGGATTATTTTCATTGCAAACACTTTCCCAGTTTAAAGTTTCGAATTTTTGTTTTAATTTATCAGTATCGATTTTAGTTATAGTTTTATATGTATTGTAGGATCTTGTGTAGTTTTTGGCAGATTGTGAGATATTTATCATAATAGAATCATGATCAGTCATATTATAGCTGATTACACAAGAGTTCACTGATAGATTTTCAGTCTTAATATTGTTTTTTAAGAATATATGATCCAAGCATGTTTCACTTTGTGGCCTCGTAATAGTGTTAATGTAAGACATGAAACCATGGGAGTAAAAAGTTGCTTGGTAATCAGTAGTTACTTGATTGGTTACATTTAGGTGATCAATTTTAATGTCCCCTATGAATATTTTAATATTTCTATTTAGGTGATTTGGTATGAAATTTTCTAAATCCCTTATAAATGCTTGTGCAGAGGTTTGAGGAGACCTGTATACACCTGTAATGCCAATGGTCCGATAATTGACTTTTAGATTTATTTTAGTGACACAAATATCGGAATATTCCTGTTTAACTATATTTAATTCTGCATTTAGATTTGACCTGACCAAAATTACAACACCATCATTTCTGTTAATGTTACCATTGTTATAGTGGGTGGTGAAGCCATCTAGGTTAAATTGAGAAACAGATTCTAATTGGAAACATTCAGTCAAAACTATTATATCACAATAATTAATTTTATAACTTTCTAGAAATACTAACAACTCATCAAAATTCTTTTTAATACTCATACTATTGAAATGTAAGACATTTAGGAGTTTTTCATTTAAATTAATTTTATTTGTTATATTAGCAGCATCAATGACTTCATTAATTAAATAGAATTTAATAGATTATTTTCTTGATTAATAATCATGAACTATTTGAATGTGTGTACAAATATTAGTTACGTTATGTTATTGATCTGTATACTCGGTTTTATTTTGCAATACCATTTGATGATATTTCAAAGAGGGACAAGTCAAATCCAGTGCAGAATGGTTGTAGTCGTACTCAGTTTTATATTTATAGTTAGAAATTTTACAGTTCTTACAGTGTATTCTTTGGACACAAGCTAGCTTTATGTTCTTCACTACAGATGTGGCACATGATTGCATTCTAACAGTTTTCTTTTTTATAGGAGAAACCTTGACATTTAAAACATTTGGGTATCTCCAAATCTTCATAAACCAGAAATCTTTCCCATCCTATACATATTTTTTCCTTTGTATCAATTGTTTAAATGCAGTTCCTGAACATTCACAGTATACACTATTAAAGCCTTTTTTTCGTTTTTCTTATATATGTGGTTTTTATTTCACCTGTTATGTCATTCTGTTTCACAATGGACTTTAATTTCTTCCTTGGTCATATTCTCTGTAAAATTGTAGATTTTCATCTGGGTCTTCTCATTTTTGTCAGATCTACATCATATCAATCTTTTAATTTATCTTGAACAGCTTTTTCCTGAATTTCAGCTTCTTTTTTTGTTTGACAGGAAAGTATAACGGAACCATTCTTTCCCATCTTTAATTGTTTCACTCCAACTTTTAAGTTAGTTAGGTTAATATTTGTTCCTAATTCTGTTTTTGTTTTGTTTCCACAATGTGGTATTTTCGGTTTAATAATAATTTTTGGAGGGTTAGGTTTTCATTCACCATATCAGCATAAGAAATGGTAGGTACAATATTTATCTTTTTCTTCAAATTCTTTAATTTTCTCTTGAAGCATTTTTATTATTTCATTTTTACTATTTATTATTTCGTCTTTATTTCTTATTATTTCATCCTTATCTTCATTAGTCTTCTTTATTAAATCAGTCAGTTCATAATTCCTACATTTTGCACAATGAAATTTCAGAATTCTAGTGCGTAGTCGTATACACCTAATTTCTGTGGTTGATAATTCAGAACATTGGTTGCAGTATAATCTTCTGCATCCATCACATATAGAGCATGGATATTTTTGTTCTTTTGTAGGATGATGAATAATCTCACACTGTGAGCATTTCATTGCCATTTTTCTTATTTTATAAACTAAATGTGGGTACGCCACTGGATATTCTATTTGTATGATTGCTTAGTAGAAAGTATTGGTGTTTATTTTATTTCACCTAAACTTTTTTGTCATCTGATAAGGTTTGGTACTTTTTTGCGTTTTTTGTTTCCTTGGAAATGTTTATTATAAGAATGTTAGAAAGTCAATGTTAAAATCTCCACATAAAAATACAGCATCATAAAAAACAACACGATTTAAAATATATGACAATTTTTTAATAAAAAGTTCAATATTTCCAGAGGGAGATCTGTAGACGTTTATAATAATAAAGTTTATATTCTTTACAGAAAACGATATAGCACAGCTTTCTATTTATAAAATTTACTGTCTTATATGTAATGGTTTCTTTTATTAAAATAAGTGATCCACCATAAATTTTGTTGCTTCTAACGTATGAATCAGCTATAATGTAATCTTTAAAATTAATAAAAGGCAGTGCGGTATTATTACACCAACATTCAGTTATACAAAGAATATCAGGATTATATTGATTCAGTAAAAGTTCAATTCAATTTGTTTTGTTAACAATTATATTAATATTAATTTTTTCTTGCTATAAAATAATATCATTGAATTAAAACAATTGTTTAATAAAACGAGAAATATATCTTGATGTATTCACAATTGGGCTTTCTGGTAAAGAATTGTGCACCTTCTATTCCATCTACTCAATTATACCTAAGGTCAACTCGAATTTTATATATTTTTAGGATTGGAAATCTAAAGAGATGAAAATTAGGCAAAGAGCTGTAGCCATGTACTTTATTGATAAATTGGCATTGAGAGCTGGTAATGAAAAAGATGAAGATCAAGCTGATACTGTAGGTTGCTGTTCTCTTAGAGTAGAGCATATTGAGTTACACGAAAAGAAAGATGACAAAGAATATGTTGTCGTCTTTGATTTTCTTGGTAAAGATTCCATTAGGTAAGTAGTAATTTTTGAAGGTGGTTCTTATTTCTTAGTAAGTACATCTTGCTGTCTCAATCGGCACTTAATATCCTTTTTTTTTTTTTTTTTTTTTTTAGATATTACAATGAGGTGCCTGTTGAAAAGCGGGTTTTTAAAAATCTTACACTCTTTATGGAAAACAAAAAAGGTGGAGACGATCTCTTTGATAGACTTAACACTATGATTTTGAACAAACATCTGTCAGATTTAATGCCGAATCTAACTGCAAAGGTAAATAAACAAATTTTATTTTCAACTGCACTTATTGATGTATTATTTTTTGTCTATTAGGTTTTCCGTACATATAACGCCTCTTGGACATTACAACAACAACTAGACAAGCTAACTAATGAAGATGATTCGGAGGCGGAAAAAATTCTGTCCTACAATAGAGCAAACAGAGCGGTGGCTATTCTGTGTAACCATCAGCGGTCTGTACCGAAAGGCCATGAAAAGTCTATGGAAAAACTGAAGGAGAAAATCGACTCTAAGAGAGACGCCATTAAGGATGCCGAGAGACAGGTAAAATTATTAATTTAAAACTTTTTTAATAAAAATTATTTACGGGACAGAGCTCTTTGCCAAGTGTGGAAAGTGATTTTTTTTTTCACATGAGTGAGAAGTATTGTCACATGGAGGCATCAGATGAATTTTACATTTACACGAGTGTGAAAAATCATTTTTATACAAGTGATGTACAATATATTTCCTACGACCACAAAATAATTTCTTTAATGAAAAATGTAAAACCAAGAAATTTGGTCCAATCAAGATATAATAATAAACCTTTTTTGTTTTTAAATTCAATTTATGTTACTTTGTCTATGAATTTTTTTTTTTGTACTCTTCTTTCTCTTCATTTTTAGTTTTTTTACTTTCTGCTTTTCACCATCTAAAAGATCGTCTCAAACTCTGTCTGAATCGGCAAAAAGTGGAAGATTTTTTGACTCCTAAGCCCCCATTTCATAAACCAGGTCACATATACATTATTATTGAAAGTTTATATCAAATGAGGAAAGGTTGTCTATATATAAATAGAATTTGGTTTGTGAATTTACAGCCTAGTAATAATGTTGTTTTGGTCCTTATTTTGCATTTTAAATCAGCACAAAATAATCAAAACACAATGTACGACAAAATAATCCACTTTCTTGAAAACTAAATAACTAAATAGTAATAATTATCTCTATTTACCTTAGGAAAACGCAAACATTTTTTGGCTTGTCAAAAAATACATATTAAAAAATACAAAATAGTTTAAAATTAAAGGAAAGTTATTGAACAATTTTAACAAAATCAGGTCCAAATGATTCAAGGATCAAAGGTAAAGTCTCTATCCTATTATGCAGGTTTGGTATTCGTATAGACGGCATAGGCCAGGGGTTCCCAAACTTTTTGCTCTGCGGACCGAATGTCCTAATTAATAAAAGAGTGGGTTGGCGGGCCGCACATTGTAAAAAGCTGTAGTTAGTTATACATGTATTTTTATGAAGTAGGTTCAACCTAATATACCTACATACACTTTTATTTTTCAAATATAAACTTTTCAATACAAAAAAATATTTTTATGTAATACAATTCAAAAATATCTCTATAACATTTTCTTACAAATTAGGACGTACTGTGGTGAAATGCATTTATATGTATTATATTTTGACGTTTTATCCTTCATATAACAAATGATAAAAAATGAGTTATTCCGGGGATCTTAGTTTTTGCTTATTAAAGTTCCAAATTGAAAATGTTTTTTAACAAATATAAGTACATTCGAATAACTAAGCCATTTGATAAGTGTGTTTCAATAATTCGGAATATTGTCACGAACTTGATTGACCAAGTTTCGCAGTTGGAAAATAATATAAAATATTCAAAAAAAAAAAAAAAAAAAGATTATCAGTCACACCTCGTTAAATAATTTTACAAAAAGTTTAGCAACTCGCTAATTTATAAACAATTGTGTGAAACTTACCACATTATATTCAGCTATAAGGGCACGTCAAAATCTCCAAAACGTTTATCTATATTATCTATACTAAATATTATCTTACTTTTGCTAATTTCTCCATATCTTGACAGCAGTTCGAGTCTTTTTCTTAGGCCAGTTTATCGAGTGTTTAGTCAACTCCCGACTGCCGAATTTTTCTTTGGGGAGGATTTTGTTGAGTGAAATTTACATAATTTGTAAAAAAAAACAAAACGTTCTAAAAAAAAAATCACCTTGTGTGGTATTTGGTAAGATTATTTAACAATTTGAACAGAACTTTTATAAACAACATTTGCTTGGTTACCGTAAAATGAAATCGAATCTGTAATTAAAATGCATATTTTAACAACAAAAACAATTTTTGTCCATTTTCCTCACCATTTTAAATAACTTCACATTGCCGTTTCGCATATATCATTGAAACGTTACTCTGGTAATAAATAAAAAATTTTAAATCCAATCGATATAGTTTATATTGATTGGCGTGTATTGTTGACTCTCAATTTTCGTAATTTTTGTATTTTAAGACCTGACTTTCTTTGTCATGTTTAAATTAAGCAATTGTTCGAGGGCTGCACTTTGGAAACCCCTGGTATGCTATATAAGCAATTTTCAGATAAAAATATTTTTAAATTAGTCTTAAATTCTGAATATGTAGTGGCAGGCAGCATATTAAACAGCTCAACATCACATTTCTTTGTTCTTTTAAGTATGTATTGGATAGATATTAAATTTTCTCGGTACTTTCTATTGTAGTTGTATATATGAGAGTGTGCAGAAAAAGTGTTTGTTGTTTCTTATGAATAGCAATTTTTGTTAAATTATTATTGCATAAGTCCTGTGAAAAGTGGTCTACAGCTGGTTTGCCAAGAAGCTAATGTTATGGCTCTTATGGCAGATTTTTGTCAAAAACCCTTTTAATATGTGTCTGCTACATTGCATCAAGTTATTGTTCCATATGTTAAGTGACTACGAAAAAGAGCATAATAAGTGTTGAGTGCTGCATGCTGGCCACATCTGACGTTTTTTTTTAATGGCAAAGACGGCCTGTGACAGTTTAGAGCGTAGTGTTTCGATGTGGTCTGCCCATCTAAGTTGTGAATCAACTTGTAGGCCTGGTATTTTAATAGAACTGTCACCGTTAGTCTGTCCATTATTACTTACTGCAAATTTTAGGGATACAGTTTAGTGGTGTTTAAAAACAAATCATTTGCAGAAAACCACCTGTTTGCTTGAGTTATAACATCTGAGTAAATTTGTTCATATCAATATAAAATGTAGTATACGTGTAGCTAAGTTTTAAAACAACATATTAGGAAGATTATCAATATATACCAAAAATAGTAGTGGTCCTGAAATCGGTCCCTGAGGAATCCCTCTCTTAATATGCATCAATAACTTTTGCAATTTTCAATAATAACTGTTTTAAATATGATTCAAAAAGTTTCAAACAAGTTCCAATTTTGATAATAAAATCTGATGATCCACACAGTTGAAGGCTAAACATTCTTTTCAGCTTTTTCAAAACTGTTTTTGATATACTTTACTAGAAATAAAATAGCATCTATTGTAGAACGTCCCCTTCTAAAACCATATTGAAAAGGGGTTAAATTAGATTGTTATATACTGCTTTTTCCAAGATTTTTTAAAATATAGGAAATATATCAATTTGTCTAAAGTTTCTAGATGAAGATGGATCTCCTTTTTTAAATAATGGACAGACTTTTACCTATTTTCATATTATCAGGGAATAACCTTTCAGATAAACAGTTTATAATTGTGGTTAGAGGCTTGGATAGATCTGAAAACCATTTTTTCAATATGAATACATGAAAACCACTAATATCTTCACTTTTTTGTTTTTAAACCTTTTATAATTGTTTCAATTTCTAATTGACTGTCTGGAGGTGTATTTATAAAGGACATGGCTAGATTATCTGGTTTTTCTAAATTTTTTCTGAATTACTTTTCCAAGTTATTAATAAAAAAAGAAATAAGGTCATCAACAGATAAAGTTATTGGCTTTGTATTTATTTTATTTCGCTAAATTTCTCTGTTAACGATATTCCACAAAGTCTTAGGTTTATTGTCAGAATCTAAATCTAAAATTTTAAAATAAGTCTGTTCATATTCTTTATAAAATTAAATATATTGGCGAGTAGATGTTGCTTTTGCCATTTGTGTAAAAACAGCCTATTTTTTGTATCTGTAATTGCAGAAGAGACCCAAAATAGTTTTTTATTTTTATTCGATAACTGTAGTTTAGGTATAAAACAAATGTAGTAGGAGCCAAATATAGTAATAAAGGCATTACATTTATGAACAGCTGAATTTACATTATAGTTCTAACTACCTTTCAGAATTTAAATAATCCAGAAATAGCTGAATATTGTTTTGTGAATAATTCCTAGCGTGCTTTAAGTAATTTTGTACTTCAGGCCATCTTTGCATTTCTAATATTAGTCCCCTAGTATGTATGTTGACTACACAGAATGAGCAAATAACTTCCAAAAATATTTAATGGTGATTTTTGGTGTCCATTTTAAAGAATAGGGATTTCTAACTTCTCAAAATCTGGTCATAGGATAGACTTGGGCCCATGGACAGTTTTGATAGGGACATCAAGTAATTTATTATATCTAAAATTCAGACATTCTGGCGATATTATTATCAAAAACGCTTTCAAGATCAATCCTTTATATTTTTATACCAAACCAAACTGGGAATCCACACATTTTAACTTTATTCATAAGCAGTGAAAATATCTTTTAATGCTTTATTAACTTAGACAATTATGTGAGGTTGAAAAGAAGTTGTGAAGTCGATTACCACAACCTAATGTTTTATCTCTTGAGTTTTTCCAACGTAATGATCGATCGGAGTAATATGACATTCAATTTTCAGGTAAAAGATGCTGTAAGAGAAGCCAAACATGGCAGTGTAAAAGAGAAATTTGTCGCCGATAAGAAGAAAAAGCTTCTTCAACGTCTAAAAGAGCAATTAGCCAAGCTGGAAATTCAAGAAACCGATCGTGACGAAAACAAGACGATAGCTCTGGGCACATCTAAATTGAACTATCTAGATCCCAGAATTAGCGTGGCTTGGTGCAAGAAATATGACGTTCCCATTGAGAAGATTTACAACAAGACCCAAAGGGACAAGTTTAGGTGGGCAATTGACATGGCTGGGCCTGAGTATCGATTTTAAAATGATATATAGAGAGTAGTGTGTGTAGGAAAAATGTAATTGTGTGCTCGGAAAACATGTATAGGTATTTTCTTTGGTGTTGTATTGGGTTCTTTATAATTTTACTTTTTTTCAATACGTTTACGTTTTAGATGTTTTACAAAAAAATAAATTGTTTTGAAGTTTCCCATTTTAAAGTAAGGATGTAGAAATAAGGAATATTTCAAATGCAATCATCTTTTATTTTAAATATTAAGTACTTTATGATTTTGTTTGTACTACTCTACGTCGCCAAAGAAAACTGCTTCTGGTCTGAGTCATTCCCAATGAAAAGTGGGCGGTTTTACCAACCAGTATCATGGACATTATTATATATTTATATAACTTTTTGAATATTGAAAAACTGGCTGTTGAAAGTTTCCGAAAGAGCACTACAGAATATTTCACCCTATATTTTTTAAGATTAAATTATTAGTGAATTTTAAATTTTTACTTAGTGAAATTTTCTTTTTTTTTTTATTAATTGTGTAAATGTAAGGGAGGTATTAAATATCTATGTGCAGATATTGTATCGTTTTTTGCATTGGACTTGGGCGTCGACTTTCTTTTTCCCGCAACGAAAATAATTTGACTTTTTATTACTTTATTTACTGCACATATCAGCTTTGTATTACAGAGTGAAAAAAAAAATAGTTATTAAGAAGCTACAGATGAACTATATGATATATTTTTATAATTTTAATTTTACAGACTGTCTCGAAAACACATATGAATAGCGAAATCGCAACATAATTCTTTTTGTTTTCCTTTTAGAAACAAAAAAAATGTCCACTAAACAATACATCATGATCGATAGTTGATTTGTATAAAAATGAAATTTTCATAATATTCAGTATAGTATAATTTTATGTAAAATCTGTAATTATTCGGTAATATTTAATGTTTTATTGAAAGTCTACGTTCATTGTGTTCTTTGCTAACTTTTCTCAGTTGTCAATGTTCAAGGCGACTTAGCAAATCTGTATATTACAGATTTTATAAATAAAAGACGTATATATAAAAAATAGTTTTTATTACAAACCAAATAAAAGAGGTAAGCATGTAGTGTGTACCAACTTAAATTCGTAAATTTACTGTCTTGAAAAGGAAAAAAAAAACGAATTGTGCTGGAATAACTTTAGGTTTCTGGTGAGCTTGGCGGCCGAATAGGCAATTGTATCTTGGCTTGGTAAATATCTTTTGGTACCAGATAAGTGGACTGTATGATTACTTGATGTGATGACAATAAATCTTACCTTAGGTGTCTCTTGGGCTTCTACAACGGCCAGCCGGCAGTTTGGCATTTTTCAACAAAAATGCGTAAATCTTGTGATGGGAAAAACGTTCCCAAATATTCGATTTTCATCCGAAACAAGGTAGGAAATGAATCGATTACAAAAATCGAAAATACTAAAAATATTTAATACAATTAATATGAGCCAATCCGCAACATGATTTTTAGCTTTAATTTAGTTAATTGTTATAAAGTAGTGTTTGGAAAGAAACAATGTTTAGTAGAATTCGCTTCCTTCACACAACGCCATACTTCGTTAACTTTCAACTCCTGGCTCCATAGAAACGTAATGCTATTAAATCGATAGAAATAGAATAATACGTCGCCGACTGCGTACCGCAATATCCCATTCTTGTCAATAAAAGGTCGTAGGCGTAGTTAAACAAATTACTCTATTTATGCTTCTCACTTCAAATATTTATTTTTTATTTATTTAGTACACCACTCAATAGTTAAAAACAAATTACAGAGTGGGATGAACATAAATTAAAAACAAATACAATATACTAATGATATACATCACAAACGAATTAAGAACATCAGATATGACAACATGAAACAATACAATAAAGCCTATTTTTAAGGAAAACAGAAGGTAAAATATTCAGTTATATTTAAGATCTTAAAGGAGCATAAAACAAATTTAAAAAAATTAAAATAAATACACAAAAGATATATTATCAACTTAATAAGCAGGATAAACACCTACTCAGTTTCTATGGTAATAGCTCTAAAAATATCTATTTTCTTACAACTAAAAATATCCAAACTGTCTTGAAGGCGATGATAATTTATTGATCATTTGAAAAACTGAAGAACCGTTCAAAATATTTGTATTTGCAGCTGGCAAGTAAAAGCTTAAGTATATTCTGAGGCCAGGGCGGGGTATTTTAATGTTGATATAATACTGAAACTCAATGCAGTTTAGCCCTTCATGCAAAATTCCCATAACCTGATTTAATTGTTAAAAATAAATTTGATCGCATGTTAGACCTCATTTTGTATAATTAAGCATTTCTTTATTTTCATTGATGCGTTGGTTAAAGTACTATATAGTTCAAAAATATGTATTATCGACATGAATCAATTTAACAAATCTTGACTAATCTGTTTCACCAGAAAAAGAAGCTAAAAACGTGCTGCTGTTAGAAGATCATTAAAGAATAATTAATGTAAACAAAAATTAGAGATGGGATTTTTTTAATTTTATAATTTTTTTTGCGAGGCAAACCGCGACGTTTTCAGACTGGAGCAATTTAACTGATTGCTCTGATACAGGTTAGGTAAGTTAGTTAAGTTCTATACAAGTAAATAAAAATAAAGAAAACCTAACTAATTTACCTAACCTGTGCGGCCTGGGACAATTTAACTGATTGTTCTGACAGAGGTCAGGTAAGATAGTTAGGTTTTTAAAAACTTAACTAACTTACCTAACCTGTATAAGAGCAATCAGTTAAATTGCTCCAGGCCGTACAGGTTAAGTAAATAGGTTAGGTTTTCTTTATTTTCCCATTTTTGAATAATTTTTTTTACGAAAGCCATCCTCGAGGGCTCCATGCCGCACAGGTTAGCTAAATTAGTTAAAAAAAATTTTTTTCAGTTTTATTATTTTTGTATAATATTTTTTGCAAGGATAACCGCGTAGGATCCAGGCCGCACAGGTTAGGTAAATTAATTAAATTTTTTATAATAAAAAAAACTAACTTACCTAACATACGCGAGAGCAATCAGTTAAATTTAAATAGCGCAGGTTAGGTAAGTTTTTATTTTTCCCTTTTTTGTATAATTTTTTTTGCGAAGCAACCCTCGAGGGCTCCCGGCCGCACAGGTTAGGTAAATTTGTTTGAATTTTTCTTATTTTTCTATATTTTTTTTTGCGAGGCAAACCGCGACGGCTCCAGGTCGCACGTTAGGTAAATTAATTAAATTTTTTATATAAAAAAAATCTTAAAATCATTTACCTAAATGTCCCATGGGGAGACAACTCGACCTTATTGAAATACATATTTTGTGCGAATTAATCACATTTTTTTAATCCAAATAAAGATAACCGTTTAGCTCTTAAATAATTATTTTTAAATTAACAGTATTGTAAGGATAAAATTTGTTAAACGAGGTAGCTATCATTTGAGATTATTGAAAAATTTGCCATTAGTAGTTTACCTGGTAGTAGGGATTAGACTGATGGTTGAATGGTATCGTCGTTTGATTTTTTGATATTTTACTATTTTTAATGTTGATTTTCAATATATTGTCCTTTCGATCTATTGTCTTTTCGATAAAATATATCTTCGACCAAATATATTTTCGATTAAATTCCATTCGATAAAATGTATTTTCGATCAAATTTCCAATTCGATCAATTTTGTGCCACCCAAACATGTAAAACTAAAGAAGACACAATGAGAAATCAATTCAATGTCTTTTTTAAAGCTTCTAATGTAAGTAAAATAATGTATTTATGTCTAAATATAATATTTATTGTAAACTAGTCACAACACGTATCACGGAGTGTAGTTTATTTTATTACACGTTTCTATAAAATAAAATTTTTCATTCATATATCCTGACTTACAAACAACATTAATTATACATTAAATTTAACTTACTAGCAAAGAAAATTTGCTTCTTTATAGTTTTAATGTTATATAAAGAGTTGGTTATTTTCTGGAAAACTTTAAAAGGACAAACAAAATTAGCGCTGTCATGCCTTATGTGATTTTTTTAATATAAAATAATTTTTTAACCACCGTGCTCAGGATTAGGATATGTGTCATTTGGTAAAGTACAATGTTTTTACATGCTTTTGGGGTATATTTAATTTCGTTATCAGATGACGGTAAAAATTTGCAATGGATCTTGGACTATTATGAATGAGCTAGGGATACAAATCCGAATTGCGCAATGTATAAACTGGAACATTGAGATCAAAAGTGCCGAGGCAGAGAGAGCGAACTGATTAAAGAATCATATTATTTTCTTTTTATCAATTTTTTAAAAAATCGTTTTATTTTACATTGACTTTTATAGAAAATGAACGTTAGTGATGTTCGACCTGCCAACTACAGTCAATTTAGCGAACTTTATAAAAAAGATGGACAGAAATTTGATCATTGCCAATTAGCCTCCTTATATCTAGTGTTCTTAGTATTGATCCAAGTTTAAGAACTGCGTATTTAGTGTAGAGGAAAGGAGGAAAATCTTATATGGTTGTTTATATCACAAAATGTATAAAATTAAGATGGCGCTCGTGTACTATATAGAAGGTAAAAATCCAATAATAGAGTCATATAGATTGCTCATCCATATGTAAATCAGACGACGAAAAGCGAGGCGCACTAAAAGGCATTATTGCACCCAGACAACCAGTAAAGCAGTTTTGCGAATGGCATTGTCAGGGGATGCGCAAAAGTTGGCAAAACAAGTCGTCGAACTCAAATAAAAAATGAAGCAAGATTACTTTCCAGCACAAAGAAAAAACTTAAGTTTTGCCAATTCGCTGCGTGTGTGACAGCAGCGCAAATTCATTTATGTACCAATGGACTATTGTGTATACTGACAATACAATTTTTAATAGAATTCGTAATTAAAAAGTATATATTATGTTAGTTTTAATAAAAGTATATGGATTTGTAAAACAAGTAAAACATTAAAACATATATTTTTGTCGCTTAAACTAAGAAAAAAATGTGCCCTCCTGTATCCCTTAGAATATCTTATTCACTATAACACGATATTTGTTTGTAGTTACATCTGTTATCTCTGGGTTGACCCCTCGGTTCACGATGAACAGCGGAGTGGTAGGCCCAGTATTCGGACCAATATCGTTGATCAAGTGAACCAAAAACATCGAAGTAATCCGACATTGACGTGCTATCATTTTCAAAGGTGAATAATTAATACATGCGCACCAACAAGGTCGTCTAGAAGGCGCATCCATAAAAAACAGTTTGCAAATTAAAAGAAGAAAAAATAGTTTTTATCACTTTATTTTCTTTTATTAGACATTTTTTAAATAATTAAAAACATATATTTTAACAATTTGTTATATTTAATGTCGGCTATTTCTAAAAACGATATTTAAATAATTAACAATAAAAACAAACAGACCTAACTATTCTAACATCTAGAATTGTAACATATTATATAAAAATGAGTTAACATGATATATTTTTGTGCATTTTTATATTATTATATACTCGTCTGCAGTGTGCAGGAAGGAATGAAGCCATTCATGGGTACCTAACGGCAATTTTTTTTCAAGTTTATTTTATAGGCATATGTCAATAAGAACAAGATCGATCTTGCCTGATATTCGAGATAGTGTAAAGACAATCATATAGAAAAGAGTTCAGAAGGGTTTATTTCTTGATAGACGTGATCTACATATTAAGAAAGTTTTAATTGTATGTTGATATGGAAATAATGTATTCAAATGATGCCGTATAAGACTAGTAGAAGCACTCGGGTAGAAGCTGACACCGAGACCCTCTTTACCTCATATAAAAACCAGCATGTTTCGAGCAGGCGATGTTGGCTCTGTCACTGTTCATACAGTTCATAAGAAGCGACCAACTCTCTAGGAACATACAGTCTCAGGTCAGAACATAAATCAGTCCAAGACGAGAGTGAATAATGAACTCAAAGAAGAAAGAAATACTTTTTTCATTATTACAGTTTATAGCAGTGGCGGCTCGTGGGCACTAGCGGCAGTGGGGCACACACTGGAAAGGAATCCCGGGATTCGTTTTTCCCTTAGGAAAACAAGTTCTCCGCTTAATGAAAATAAAAAAATATATTTCAAAACAAATTAAATATTACAAAATTGAAGACTAACTGCTAGGTACCGCTGCAGTTGTAACTATTTCTTATAATTAAAGTCCATTCTTCTGGATTTTTGGCTAGCGAAGTGATCGATGACCAGATTATTAAAATTTGGAATGGGCCGAATAAGTTTTTTTTTCGGTGGATAACATGGCTAACGCGCACAATCTATCTTGGCATATAGTGTTCCTTAAAAATGTTTGAATACGTTTTAGTGTCGAAAAACATCTTTCACTCTCCACTGTGGTCATGGGAATTGTACACAGGATAGTTAGCAGCTCCACAGATTCCGAAAATGTAATTGTCAAATTGTTCTCAAAAAACATTTGTAATTACGGTACGGCCCCATTGTGTTGCACAAAGTCATCTCGGGTGTAAAGTATAGACAGTTCGTTTTTGACTTTTAAGCTGTTTACGTTTGGAAATAAACTACACACAGTTTTAACGTCCTCATTTGGAAAACAATCTCGGTAGTCTTTAAATTTTTCACTATCAAATAAACTTGCAATTGTTAGGTGAGTAGTAAAACTAAAATGTTAATTTACCTGCACTACTATTGTATCACAAATTTCCTTACATATCCTTAAATTAGGAATGGAATCTCCTTTTCAACAAACCGTCTCTTCTTGCTTGTACTTGGACCTGATTGGGTGTTGTTGTTTAAGTTTAGTTCTTGTGGGTCTTGTTGTAATTGCCATTCTTCATGAATTAGCGTGTCTATATTATTTCTAATATTTTGAATAGCTGCTGCAAAATTTGATATGTTTATCTTAACCTTGAGAGCATCGAGCTGTCTACTCTGCAGTTGAACAAAAAGTCTATCGCTATTTGGCATTATTTTGCTGAAGAAAAATAACCAGAAACTAAAATCTGTCTTTCAAAATTTATCAACCCTTTAGTCTGATTAATAGTTCTTTTATCGAATTCTGTGTTCATAATTTCTTCGAGACATTTAATTAAATCCTCTTTATAAACATATAAATAGTATTGACACACTTCGATGTAAAATTCCATCGTGTAGGAGCATTTTAAAGCATACGACTCTGAAGAAAAGGTGTTTGGCAATTTAAAATCTCCAAACAAAAAATGTATTTTTTATATTTTCAAATTAGAAAAAATATTTATATCTCTATTTGATAGTTTGTCAACTAAGCCTGGAATTTTCAACGCATACCTTTTTGAGATGAGCAAAATAGAATTTGGTCATCCTTGCCAACGATTTGCGAAAATGTACACCATTAAAATATTTATAAGACTCATAATTTTTTATACTCTTAAATATGCAAACAGAGATTTGAAATCCTCGAAAAAGTCAGACAAAACCAAAAGAAAAATTAAAATTTTGTCCCATTTATAAATATTATTGATTTTTTTTTCATCATATTTTTGACTGCTTTATAAAAAAAGTTATTTTTCTTTGTAGTTTTATTTCTTAACTATTCCAAAGGTCCAACTAACGTTTTTTCGTAATCACAATAAATAAATTATCATGGTCCAACAAACGCGCACCTTAAGCCGAAACCGGCATCGCGTTTGTAAGGGAGCCGGTAAAGATGCCGCTGCGTACGTTCGTAGCTGGTCTAGGTAATCTGTGCCATGGGTACAGCACGTCACGATGAGGACAGCGCCCCGCTTGTGACGTATAATCCATCGCATCTGTTCATCTCTTGCTAAGCGATATTGCCGTTGCTCTTGTTTTTCGCATCATAATGAGAGAGAAAACAACAGAGGCACACATTTACTGTGCCATGTGCCCACTTAATTTCGGAATTCTCGGAACGTCGCTCAACGCCCGATCGTCCAGTGTCGTGCCAACGCGGTTGGTTAGATAAAATAATAATAGGCATTGAGGAAAATATAAAATATGTAAGTTATTTTTTTTTTTTGTTATTATACTAGGGCACCAAACCGCCACTGGTTTATGGTACATTAAATTTTAACTGTCGATGTAATTTAGAATAATTTTTTTCATTAACTGAAAGAGCAGCTTCATTGACTATGTCGCTTGCCTGTTCTTAACAATAATGATAAGGGGGCATCCATTAATTACGTGAGGTGTTCAAGGGGGGGGATCAAGCTAAACCTTTCCAAATCTCACTTGGGGGAGAGGGGGGTCTTTGTAAATCTGACGTAATTTTTTTCTAATATAAAACGGTGTAAAATTGCGTGAAAGTTAAATTAAAGTAAAGAATGTTTCTAGAAATTTTATATTACGGCAATATTCTCAAATACTAGTCTTTGCTAGTCTTAAATAAAAGTAATAGAACATATTGTGTTTTTGTTCTTTTTAATAATCCAACGCATTTACACCCTAAACACAAATCTTGACAAAAATCTCACACGTGAGATTACAGGAGGGGGGAGGAAGTTGAGGAAAATCTTACGAAATCTCACCCGGAGGGAAGGGGAGGGGGGTCAAAAAATCCTCAAAAATACCTCACGTAATTAATGGACGCCCCCTAATAAATATAAAATACAAGATATTTCAACAACAAAAAATGATAGAAAATGTCGGACGTGACTACTTCCGACTCGATAAGTTCATAAATTGCCGCTAAGCTGACAATCTGCTTCATTTCTGTACACGCTCGTTATATGTAATCACTTTGTCTAAATTTGGGCACTACAGAGCAAACCCTTATTCATCATTGGAAATTAGATAGACCTTGTAAAACTTTTTATTTTGGTCCCTTTTAATTGAGCTGCAAAAATTATTTTGAATCATAACTTCCAAATTACTAAATATTCATTTAACAAATTTTCCATATGCTTTGCTCTAGTCAACAGCAATTTAAAAAAAAAAAAAAATGTTTTTAATAATATTTTAGTAGCATAGCAAAAAATTTGGTGTACTATTTTGTTATTGGATTGGTCACATTTCCCTCCACTTCTAATTTACACCTTCCAAGATTCCACCTCCGTTCCTAGTCAAAAACCTCCAATTTATTCTCATGTCCAGTGTACAGGAAATATTTCTAAAATAAATTTAATTACTGAAATTTATTTCTTAAGGTGATTACAGCACCCCCTTATAATTTTGAGACAAGGATATCTCAAAAAGTAATTTTTTTAAAAAATTAAAATTTTGGCAAAATATATTAGGCAATAATATCTAAAATATGCATATATTTTAAAATTTTAATTTCTTCCAGTTTCCGAGAAAAAAATCAAAGGGCTTTAAATTTTGAAATATCATAATGAAAATAAATGCATTCCTCAACAGCACTATTCTTAATATAATCTCCAAATTTAAGCTCTTAATCTCTTGTTAATAATTTTTTAAAATTCGCCGAAATTAGTGGCTAAAACGCCTCGTTAAGTGCTTCTTTCTAGTGTAGCGTCTGTAACTATTGTTTTGTACACTCTGAGTCATCATTCGTTTCTTGCAACGATTTACAACAGTTTAAACCAGAAAATAGCACTTAACGAGGCGTTTTAGCCACTAATTTCGGCGAATTTTAAAAAATCATTAACAAGAGATTAAGAGCTTAAATTAAGAATAGTGTTGTTGAGGAATGCATTTATTTACATTATGATATTTCAAAATTTAAAGCCCTTTGATTTTTTTTCTCGGAAACTGGAAGGAATTAAAACTTTAAAAAATATGCATATTCTAGATATTATTGCCTTATTTATGTTGCCCAAATTTAAGTTTTCTAAAAACATTACTTTTTGAGATATCCTTGTCCAAAAATTATAAGGGGGTGCTGTAATCACCTTAATAAATTGAACAAGGTAAGCCTGGCAACAGCATCCCTTCACTAGACTTTGACTTCAAAGTTTAGGTAGCTGAAGAGAATGAGAACCAGAGTGACATTGAATCTGATTGTGATCGGTATCAGGAAGAAGGCAGCAGATGAGGATTGGTTTTTTCGTGTTTGTATAAATTTTTATAAATAAAGTAATTATAAATAGACATTTCTTGTGTTAAAATATTGTGTATGCTGTATACGGTGATATAAATGTAGACTTACTTAGTAATGAAAGAAAATTATTTATGAACATTTTTAGGGAATTTGGCCTGTACAACATTGTTACAAAACCAACACGGGTCAGCAGTATTAGCTCAACTTTAGTTGATCCACTTTTTACATCTATTGAAAATAAAAATGCTATTGTTCAAAATAGTTTCCTATCAGACCATTCCTACAAATAACAAATCAGGTAGAAAATACGCAATCTTTTGTTCCGGATTTAAGTGACAGTAACAAGCTTATCTTTAAAAATATAATTATTAACGAGTCATGGGAAGACATGTATAACTCATCTGAGTTCAATAATAAATTTAACAGCTTTTATTCGACTTTTTTGTACCATTTCAACAACGCTTTTACATTTATAAAAGTTAAACCTAAACGCCACAAAAATAATTTTTATAATGCAGAACTAAGTGCACTGCATGGGATGCTGTGTGAATTACATAGTATATACATAACTAGTAATAATGTTACTATTAGGGATAGATATAAAAAACTCAAAATAATTTATAATAATAAAGTCAAATCAGCAACTTTCCTATAATAATAAAAAAAGGGTAATGAATGCAAAAAAATTAAATAAAAGAATGTTGGAGAATTTTAAATGAGGCCAAAGGAAAATCAGTAAAAAAATTACCCATCGAGATGCTAAATTGTCAAGACAACAAAATTTCTGGTGTACAAAATATATGTAATGCTTTTAATAATCAGTTTACTGATGTAGACTTCTACCAAATTATAGTGAAGCAAGGCTTCAAGATTTTTCTATAAGCACTCATTTTTAACTCCAACTACCCCAAAGGAAATAACAGAAATTATACAGAAAACAACTTGTAAAAAATCTGCCGGTATAGATAAAATAGATGGAACAATATTGTCTGTTATTGCTGAAGATATTAGTGTACCTATGTCCTACCTTATAAACGAGTCTTTTTTATATGGTGACTATCCTAGCTCATTAAAAAAATCAAAATCCATTCCTATATATCGTCGATCTAAAGCACACATATTGTAACTCCAAATTTAATGTTATGACGATCTTGGTACCAATTAAATCGCATTTTAGCCTTCTTTATTGAGCACAAACATTGTAGCTCCAACACCCACCAAACTACAATAAATTCAAACTTAAAACTGAGAATTATGGCATTTAATTACACTTTCTAGTGCACATTTGTTGTAAGCACCATATAATATTTGTGGCTGTCAGAAATTACCTACCAAAATTCACAAAAATTGTATCTCCATGATATTCGCTGTGTGCAAGACTGGTAGCGCTCTCTGGTGACGGGATAGCGACAGTTCTCCTCATTCATTCCCGCATACTTGCTATACACCTCACACTCAACAGTAGTTGAACTTGAAAATTCTTTTTCAACAATTAAGTGTTGCAACAAGTTTTGTGTTCGCTGTTAGTTGATAGACTAACAAAAATTGTTTCTGTCGCACAAAAAGTAAGTAAATGACAAAAAAATATTTGGAGGTTATGCATACGAAGTATCTGCGTTTTGAATGTCATAAATCAATTTAATTTATCTGTATTTTTAGATGCTACATTTTTGTCATGAGTGTCATCTTGTACACTGGATTTGAGAAAATATCTCATGACATAAACTTTCAGCCTGAAACGCCAAGAAAAGGTAAAGATTTGGTAGAAGCTGGGCATGTCATAAATGTCGAAGAGCACAGAGAGTCAGGTGTTGGCCTTTTTATCCGAGCTGGCGTCATTAGACAAACGTCTGTCACGAAAAAAGAATATCTTGTAGAATTGCATGTAAGATAAAAATTGTGTTGAAATCCATTTATTATTGACAATAATAAAAATAATCGCTACTACGATGATGTGGACAATCGCCGACTCATGCCACCATAGGCGCTGCGATAGCTCAATCTATCCCCTCCAAGCCAAATGCACACAGCGAATAGGCACCATACAATAGGTCTGTTCGGGTTCTTTAAAATACATTGAAAACTATCAGAGGACTAGTTGACCAGTGGACAGTTTAATAGTTGTGTGCGACGTATACTTTAGAATTGAACTGTTCCACTAGTTCTCGGACGGTTTGCATCGAGTTTTAAGGAAACCCGAACAAACCTTACATTTGGGCCCGTCATTGTATTATTAGTTTGCATAATAGCAGCTTTTATAAGTACCCACGTGGTTACCCAGTGGCGTGCCAAAAGGGCCCGCAATGCGGGGAGGGCCCGGGATTCCCAGATAGCACAGGACGTTTTCAAATGAACAATAGCTACAATTTTCGGCATTCAATAATTAACTTAAATAAGTGAGTTAGATTAACGAAGAAAAAAGAAGGTTATATAGTGTTATTTGTTATTTTTTTGATGCTGGTGGTAAAGTGGTTATAAAGTGAAGTGAGTGTTTTGTGTTGATGTGAGAATAAGTGATGTGTATTGTCGATAGCCGCTGGCGGAAAGAAAATACCTTAATGGCGGAAAGTTGGAACAAAACTAATTTGGACAAAATTATAATATTCAGTTTTGTCGACACAAGCTATAAGTAGGACCCAAGGTTTCATCTTGCCAGCGCTGTGTGTTAAATTTAATTCATTCCTGTTTTTTTTTTTTTTTGTAAACTGAAAACGTTTAACTCTAGCTAGGTTTTTTAGGATAAAAGTTGTTAAATAAAGCTCTTTTATTGTTAACATTTTTGTTATTATTACCCTTTATGGATTATGGTCAAATATCGTCCCTCGGACGTCTGATTTACGTCCCTAGGACGTCCCGCAAAGGTCCCTATGACGTCCTTTTGGGATGTCCCAGGGACGTCCCTAAGATGGACAGAAACGGGACATTAGGACGCCCATGGGACGTTCGATTGACGTCCCGGTACCAAAATAGGACGTCCCTCGGACGTCCTTTATGTCCCTAAAGGACGTTTTTTAGATGTCCGTGTGCTATGTGGGTTCCGGGGGTCCCCGCTCAGCCTCGAGTAAGTTTTTTACATAGTAATAACTATAATACTTATACTTAATTTTATAGCGGCGGAATATGTCTAGACCTCATAATTTTCCAAAATCAAATTAAATATATTTTGCCTTATCAGTACCTATTTTATAGCAAAATTCGACAACACGACAACGTAGGGATATAAAATCCAAAACGACGATAAAAATATCCAGACGATCTCACACAAAATTTTGCGCCGGAGCTAATTCAAATAAAACACCTCCTATATGTTAGCCTGCAAAATCTTAACAGTTTTTGGGAATTTTCTGATTTTTTTTTCGAAAATCAATTGTTGATTAGTAGTGTACCTGATATTTGCACCGCATTTCAGTTGTTTCTAGTACTACCTGTTACACCGGCTTAAGCAGAACGAAAAGATCGACAATGGGTGAATCGCGTCTAAGGGGCCTATTCAGTAACTCTGAACGACGTCGTTAATAGACGATAATCGTTCTTATTCAGTAGACAACGATTGCCGTTGAAAATAGACAAATATGGTTGTAAAATTGTCGTTCATCAACGATAGCCAAAGAGCTTAATAATATGAAGTGTCGTTATAGTGATTTTTGCATTCCCTCTCATTTTTCATTGTGAATCAGGATGTGTTCTAAATAATAAAAGCACTTTTTTACAAATTTTACAACTAAATTGCCATCTACCTAATACAGCAAGTACTATTTGTAAGGAATTTTTTTTTAATTTATTTAATTATTTTAAAAATAAATCTGATTCAAAGTTAGGATTGCCCATTCAACCATTTACTATTGGATTCTTATTAACAGTGCTGTTCCTAAAGTAGCACTGCGAATCTTGGTTTGGTCTCAATGTCCTAGGACGTTATTAAGACGTCTTATAAGACGTCTTGCAAAAGCCATAATTCAGACGTATTAATGTGAGAGCTCAAAGACGTTCTTAAGACGTCTTAAAGACGTCTTGTCAAATCCATATATTAATGAGAAAGCTTTAAGACGTCTTACGAACGTCTTTCAGTCGGACGGAAACTTGCACGGTTTACATAATTCAAATTTAACAAGAAGAATTAAATGAAGTGAAGTTTGACGTTTGATTTAACATTATATTCAAGCCGGACTTTCGATTCGGACACCATCGTGGCAATATTGAAATGGCGTTCTCCGAATCGGGAGCCCAGAAATTCCATATAAATCACAAAATATCTAGTATAAAAGTGACCATCCGAATTTAAAAAGTATACAAAATTAAACAAAATAGTCAGTGTTATATTTGGAGAAGACAATTGAAATCAAATATCAAGTGCAGTGGAAAAGTAAAAAGATTGCAATGAGCCCATATAAAACGAAGAAAAGAAGAAATACATTCAAACCCAAGCCAAAACTGTGTATGGCCCAAGCTCATTGTGAATTATTGATTATTTTATTGCATACACGATTATAGCCACCAAAAGCGACTTTGGGCTATTTTGAGCATTTGTCTCTTTCTACTTAAATAATATGGGACAAAAACCAGAGAGGGAAGAATAGTTACGTGTTACCGATGTAGCATGTTCCTGAAATACAGGTAATAAATGAATATTTGTTTATATACATAGAACATTAATATCCTGTTTCTTCTAAGAATAATTAAATTAATTTAAAAGTAAACATCTTAATATAAGATTTAATTCAGATATTCGTCAAGTATCATTTTTATTTTTATGAAGATTTTGAGAACTAATAATATCAAAAACTCCCTATTAGATAGCCATTTTTAGTTAAAGTAAAATTGTTAAAGTAGGCGATTAAGCTCATATTGCATTAAATGATTATAAAAATTTTTGATTTAAAATTCTAAGAAATTAATTTTTTGTTTTGTTTTATAGATAACTGTTCTGTCGGTTTTTACTTTTGCAAAGTATAATTTTCTGTGACTAGATGCTCTTAACTAAATTTCTTTTTAGGAGCTATACAAAGGCAACTACAAATCAAAGAGAAAAATCAATCCAATTAGGGCTAAAGAGGAGTGATCGAATGCGCTACAAAGAAAATAATTCTTAGTGACCTGTGATTTTTAGATGTTTTATCAATAAATATTTTAATTCTATTTTTTTGCATTATTTATAATCTGCAAGGTTGTTCTACTTTTTAATAACCAAGATATTCGACGTCCTACGTTCATAAGACAAAAGAGACTTATTTATGGCTTTACAAGACCATTATAAGCTATTAATAATAAGTCGTCTTATTTATGGCTTGTTTAAAGCTTCACAAGACCATTATAAGCCATTAATAAGACGTCTTATTTAAGGCTTCACAAGACCATTATAAGCTATTAATAAGTCGTCTTAAAGACGTCTTATTTATGGCTTTTTAAAGCTTCACAAGAACTTTATAAGCCATTAATAAGACGTCTTAAAGACATCTTATTTATGGCTTATTTAAGGCTTTACAAGACCATTAAACGCTATTAATAAGTCGTCTTAAAGACGTCTTATTTATGGGTTATTTTAAGCTCTACAGACCAATATAAGCCATTAATAAGACGTCTTAAAGACGTCGCTTTTTGTAACATCAGACGTCTTCTAAGACGTCTTTCAGGAAATACCAGACGTCTCGAATGTCTTATGCTAGACGTCTTAAAGACGTCTTTAAGACGACTTTGTGCTATCTGGGTAATACTTCTCCGTAACCTACACAAATTTGGTTTGTATTTCAAATCCAATAAATACAACTTGTACTGTTCTCGAATTGTTTTTTGTATTCTTTTGGAATAGTTCTGTTTTTTTTAATATATCCATACTCATTTAAATAAACCCTACATACAATACGACCAGCAAATATGGCCCGCGAGAAACAGAATTCCTACGAATCGAGAATCGACCCCCTGATCGTGTTGTAGGTTAAGAACAATAATTAATATATTCTGAAAAACAAATGAATATATCTACTGGTTCCAAAAAAATGTCAAATATACCGAGTGTTTAAATTAAAGAGTTACAGTTAAATACCGCCTTTTATAAAAAAAAACAAAGTTTTATAGTTTTTTGGGGAAAACATTTTGGCTAAAAATGTTTTTTTATAGCAAACCATATATAATATGGCCAACTTTTTTTCGCGCAGCAAAATTTTCAAGTAGATGTTACTCAATGAGTAGAAATCCAATAAAAAAATGTTTCCTTTAGGGCCGATTCCACCGTTGTGTTAAACGGAGATTAAAATGACATTGTTAATGTAAAAATGTCATTTTAAACTTCGTGGAAAATTCAAGTAACCTAGTTGAAAATTTTTTTGTTATTTTTTAATATTAATTTCTCAATAAATTCCACGGTAACCTATATATTTTATTGTAAAAAACAAAACCTAAATATTTCAAAAACCTTATTTTTAGTTTTTTTTTGCCCTGTTTAATCAATAAATAATAGTATACTTAATTATAATTCGAAAATTGTTGTTGAAGTCTTACTTTCTCGTAAGACACTGTACAAATACTCACATTAAAAAAAAAAAATTCTCAAAAATTTGCACGGTAAGGTATAGTTAAAAGTTCACTATTAGATAAATAATGACTTCAACTATTAGAAAAAAATTAATTTTAGTCATAATCTAATATTTTTTATTTAACATTGGTGGCGAAAGGACCTCCTTAAAGATACCATTTCGGTAGGCGCGACAGACGACAAGCGACCACTGGACCGACTCCAAGGTCGAGTAGGACAACAGGTGCATAAATTTTACCCTATCCTTTCGAGGGAACAATCAGCGTTGCCAGACCTACTATTTTCACGTAGATCTACTGTTTTTGTCTCTAGCAAATTTTGTTCTTAATTTATTAAGTTTGCCTCATTCTTCAGCAAATGGGTAAACAATATTTTCTCTAGTAAATTTTCTGCAGTAAAAGCAGCGTAATAAGCATCCACTACTGTAGGTTGGCTCCATAAAAAAAAAACATCAAGATAATCATTGTTTTTATTTAAAATGAAACGAAGAATTAATAGGGCATCATAAAAAGAACATGCATATGCCAAACACTACGATTTTGAATTATCTAATTCAGACTGATCTAAAAGAAGTAGGTACTTATTATTTTTCATTGGTTTTTTTCCTGTACGTTAAGTATATATTAAAAATGTTTTTATTCTTTGTTTACTTTCTAATTTGGGTAGAAAAGTTTATTTTTCGTTTCTTATATACTTGTTTTTTTTATTTACTACACTGCAAATTATAATTATTTTCCCCTTTATTAAAATCTACTGTTCAGATCTACGGTTTTTTTTTACCCATACTGTTTCAAAATCTGGCAACGCTGCCTAGATCGAAAGAAATTTCCGACCGACCGAAAAAGCGATGCCGAGGACAGTGACCTCGAGTGCGATACGCATCAAAGCGAGAAGGGTCTCCACGACACTTCTCGGTCGGGTCGCACATGTGGTCGCACCATGCGAAATGTGTTTTATATAATTGTATGTATTTTAGATGTGAAGCGAATGGTGAATACCAATAGTTCGAGATTCTCAATGCTAATCAATTTTATTTTTGTAAGAGACTGTACAAAACACATGTAAGTTTATAAATATATGGATTTTAATATTAAAATCCATCCGGCAACCTCATAAATAAATGAATCGTTTACTATAGAAATTTGTGACTTCCTCATATTAATTTTAAGGGTTTCTTTTGGTTCAAACAGAACCGCTGATTCCAGTTCTTAAATGCAGTGGACGAATTATTTTTTCAAGAAAACGTCGCGAGGTTATAACATCCTCTTAGCTGATCGAGTGTTATTTTGGTACAAGGCGTTGATTACAGCGTATACAACGTTGCCAAGTTATAATAATTTTACGCAACTACGCGTCGATTGCTTTAAAAATATTTTTATTTTAAAAATCTATCTTTTTACTAAGATGGTCAAAAAATTCAGCGTTTCTTTAGAAAAGTTCTTGATTTACATTACATTAGTTTTTAAAAAATATGGTAAGAACCGTTTTCGAGATATCTTAAAATAAAAGCATTACTTGTGTACATGAGAGGCTTCAAGAGTGTTAATTATGCACATTTTGATTGTTAATATCTCGTTTCACAGACGGTCAAAAAATTTAATTTTTTTTTAGTTACATAAAAGACACTTTCATTAACCTTATATTTCAATTTTATTGAATTCTTAAGAAAAGCCGTTTTATTAAACCAATCTGAAATGCGATTCAAATAATAATAACATTTTTAGAGTTAATGTTTTTTTACATTTTTGTGTTAGTTATAAATGTTTTATTTGTTTATTTTTTGTTACAATTTTGTGTTAGTAATATTTATTAAATAATGTTATATCTTATGTTCTGTAGTTTTCCAAACCTAAAACAGAACTCATATTGGCCATATACTATAGATGGAATTTGGTACGTTAATGACGCTATGAAGTTTATTAATTAGAATTCTTATTCTTCAAAAAGTACAAGAAAAAAATCAATATTTAAAGGTGAGGTCACACCAATTTTTTTCTATCTATAAACCGATTTGAAATATCACCGTAGACAGTAGTTTCGTTGTCACCCAGTATAGGCAGTATATTAATTTTTTGATGTAGAGGGCGGCCTCTTGAAAAAAATTGCGGAGGGGCCCCCGAAGATCTTGGCACGCCACTGTGGTTACCTAACTTGTTAACAACTACTGTTCAAAAACTATTATTAAATTAATAAAAACTAATCATAGAAAATGTACCCATTGTTTTATTTAAATTTATACATTATATTAAAAATGAATCAATATATTCGGTTGCATTACGATTGTTATGAATAAAAAATAATATTAAATATCTAGATAATTATTATCTTACCCAAGTTGTAACAACATTAGTAGCTTATTTTATTTTCCATATTTTACTGTACGTTTTCATAAAATTACATATAGTTTAGCAGGTTTGAATAAGGAGATACGATGATTGTTCTTTGAAATGTAGAGTACACATATTGTATCTCCGCTTCCTTTTTTTCAAACTTTAAAAAAATGTACAATCAGTATTCACAAACCCCTTAGAATCAATAAATATAACAAGTACGCCCTATTGTTCAATCTCAACACGAATTTGAATCATAATTGTATTCAACAGAACGTGAACACCTCGCTGAAGTTTAAATTTGCGATTGTCAAAAAATGGGTTTTTGGCAAAGACATTACAACATAGAGACAAAATGTTTCATTCATAAATCCCATACAATTGCGGACTGTTATTGTTTTAAAATTGTTAGTGAGTGGAAGAGAGAAAGACAGATCTCTTAGGACCGGCTGGCAACGTTGTGAACAGTGTCCATAATATGCTCGCCAGTGGCGTAGAGTTTAAACTTACCAGTATTGTCAGAGTAGTATGTTAAAAAAATATGTAAATAAGTAGGTATATTTTTTTAATAATATAATTATGATTTTTTCATTTAGGTAAATTTAAGTACAAGTAAAATTCAAATACAAGAGAATTCAAGTTACCTTCCGATTTTTAATATTTATTGGTTTATAGTTTATTGGCATTTACTATATATTTGCCTGGTATGATGTTAACCAAAATTATTTAAAATTTTAAATTAACATTAAGTATGTAGTGGTATTTAAATAAAACACTGTCCTAAAAATAAAAAAACATGGTATGGCAAAAAATATCGTAAAAAAACTGTAAAAATTTTTAAAATAACATTTTAAATATATTAAATATCTTAATTTTATTAACTAAAATTTCTCTTAATTTTTTTATGCTTAGTTATTAGTGTTATTACTTACTGCAATGTTTTTTTTGCCGCAGATGGTGTTCCAAAAACAGTTAAATCAGAACTAAAGACCCATATATTAGATATACGTACATATAGGTAATAAATAATGTTTAGAGGTAAACAAAAAATTTATATTTTGTATTTTTACCTGTTGGATAAGTCATCCAAAAATAGAAAGATCTCACACCGTCTGGGGTTTGCATCTTCTCTGATATATTTAGCACCATTTGCACGTACCAAAACATCTTCAGGAAAAAAGTGTTCTGAACACAACTCTGGGTTTTTACGAAGTGCTGCTTTTCAAGGATCCCTATTAGAGAAAATCAAAGTTTTCTTTTCTCAGGATCTTGCGGAAACCTAAATAGAATATTAAAAAATATGTATAGGTGCCTAATAGGTAAATCATTTTTAAGGTATTCTACATTTTACGTTAAATTTTCTTTGCCACTTTTCAATAATTATTTATTGGTATAAGAATAATTTACTAATTTATAAAAGGAATATCACTTTAAAAACTGTTTTAAGACTGTTTTAGATTACACAAGTTTTTGATACAATTTCTTGTACAATTTAAATTGATATTATCAAACCTGCAGTAAATTGTCTGAAAAATTAGATTGGATAATCATTTTCCAAACAATTTACTATGTGATCCTATACAATTTAAATTCTATAAGAAATTGTATCAAATCTTGTACAAGAAATTGTATAGTCAAAACAGTCTTAAGACGGGTGCCCTACTCCACTGATTCAAATGAACCAGTGGAAATCAACCTAAAAATACTTTTCGATTTAAATGATCTACACATGCATGTACCATAATTCTTTATATTTTTCACAAAAGTTCACAAAAATAGTATTTTATAAATGAATAAATCAATAAAGTCACACAGAAACTGTCAGAAACACAAAATAGCTGTTAGACCCGATTGGAAACGTTGCCGCTGGTTACGGTAACTACATTTCATTCATAAAAATAGGTACTAGTTGTAAATTCGTAAAATTAGATATTCAGCGTTGCCGTATTTACGGAGTTCTTTGTAACCCTAATATTTTGTTTAGATTAATATTGATTTTTAATAAAAAAATTAGCTTATATTAAAACTTTAAAGAATAATTTGATTAAAAACATATTTTTATTTATGTAATATAAAATTATAGTTATAGGATACATCAAATTTTATTTTTCGAAAGTAATTTCTCCAAATAATATTTACAGACTGATAAAACCGGCAAAGACGCAATAAACGAGAATCTGGTGGGAATAATGATTTGCCACATAAAAATGTAAACAATTTGGTCTCAGTTGTAATGTCATTGGTTTTTGGATATACGATAAGTGTACTTTAGACCGACGATATAAAAATAAAGGGTCTGTAAATGACATGGCAAACTATAGGAACATCTGCATTCAAAGTCAACTGGCTAAAGTATTCGAAATGACCTATAATAACATGTTTATTAAATTTCTAGAATATAATAGACTTTTAAGTAAATTTCAACATGGTTTTCGCAGAAATAAGTCAACAACATCTAGTGCTATATGGGAGTTATGCGATTTTGTTTACACATCTTTAAATATCAAGGAATTAAATATTACCTTATACTTCGACCTCTCACGAGCCTTGACTCAATTGACCATCGGCTGCTAGTAGATAAATTGTACCGAATAGGTATAAGGTGCCCGCCAAATAAGTGGATACAGTCATATTTAAACAACCATGAACAAGTTGTAACCATCAGATGCAGTAAATCAAATAGTCTAAATGTGACAACGGGAGTACCGCAGGGCTCAATATTAGGCCCTGTTTGATTTTTAGTTTTTATTAATGACTTAGCTCTATCTTGTACAAGTCAAAGTACCAAAATTATATATGTAGATGACACAACTTTTGGAACATCAGCAAAAAATGCATCTGAACTTTATGCATATCTATTTATTATAATTATTGTCTAATGTTTTTGCCCTATTGGATACTATTTTTAAACTCAATTGTAGGATGTCTTTACTTTTTAAAATTGTATGTGTTGAAAAGACTAATAGGTCTTATATGTTTATACATTTTTTAACCTTTTTAAAATATTGTAAATATGTATGTCTCAAAGCCAAATAAATATTATTATTATTGTATAATCAAAAATTTCCAAGATTTCTAAAAATAAAAAAACCTCCTGAAATTTACACTACTTATACCAACATGACTCCATATTTGGGGAGGTGTAAATTGAAAGTGGTGGCAAGAAGCATCAACTTACAACCTTACTTTGTAGTTTAGTTCTTTTAAAAAGTTACTTTTGAGTTCTTTATGCAGTTTTTAAGTTATCTAATTTTGAATGATGAATAACCTTTTGTGTTCTATATGAGGCGAATTTGAAAGCACCCTGTATCATAAAAATTATCTTATTTACTAACACATTGGGTAGATAAATATGTGGTAATTTGAAAGTCAGAAAAGCACACCAGATGGGGATACTGAGAAGTTAGGTACATCTAACAAGCTGTCAAAAAAAATAATTGATTTATAAAATACAATTAAAAAATAGAAAAGGAAGCAAGATACTGTATGTACTGTTAAGAAATGTGACAGTAAATCCTATACAAGGACCGCATAAGATTGGGGCCAGCCTTATTAGACATGAATATATTAATCTGTTGAACTTTTTTTGACACAAACCACAGTGGTGTAATACTATGAAGAAAGACAATAGAATAAACAAAGTTCTTTCGAGTATACATAATCCATTTTGTTGTGAAGATCATTTTGAGATAAGTTAATTTTAAATTAATTAAGGTACCTATTATTACAGTAATATTTTTAGTCATACTAGTGCACATGCTCACTTTTACAGGATCTGCTACTGCTTAATTCAAATGTCTTGTAATAAAAGATCTATAAAAAATCATTTGAATACATTTGAAACAATGGGATATGAATAAATTGATCTGTTGGTGTTTTTTCAACACAGCCCTAAAATATTGTTATTTAACCTGCGCCAGCGTCATAAGCATGTGCTTTATTTTGGGAAAACTTCTATTTTATCTCTTTCCTGACATCCAAATACTTACATTGTGTGTGTATACATTTACACTTTTTTATTATTTAATCTGAACATTTTGTTTGTGAAAGCAACACACAGCAGTCTGTACCAGGATATTTTGGAAGATTCAAATTATATTTTTCTTCTAATCTAGGTGGTACGAATCTACCACCCAAATAATGATATCTCCCTTTATAATGTTGAGCACACAATTTAGGAGCTGTAAGGGAGATGAGCAAATCTGGTTTAATGGCATCTTCTGGTGGTCCCGTCTCTACATCCCATCCACTCGGTATGTCAATGCTTAAAAAAGAATATACAGTTTATAACTGATACCAGTTTTGAAAGAAGTTACAGTACCTACCTTGCTATAGGTACTGTGGTGTCTCTCATCAGCTTAATAATTGGTATAAATTGTTCCCTCACAGGTGGTTTAAAACTGAATCCGAATAATGCATCAACTATGAGACCAAATTCACATTCAATTGTAGATTTTTCAGGTAAACTTTGTATTACAGGTATGTTCATTAAAGTGCACTGGCTAGTAAGGTTGCGGAAAAGCTGTTGGTCTGATCGTTTTGGGTAATACACTATTGGTTGATAATTAAAGAGTTTCAAATGTCTGGCACAAACCAAACCATCACCACCATTATTACCTGGGCCAACACAAATCTAAAAATCAAATAGTTATCAGTGATGCTTGCTTAAAATTATTGAATTACATTACACAATTTTTTTTGTTAACTTTTGTAGTACCTACATAAGTAGGGTTACCTACTGCCAGGACACCATCAAATAGTGGAGAACAATATGACGCAGGATGAAATAGTTCCTAACTAAATAGCACCAGGTGAAAATAGCATTAGAAAAAATAGCACTGGTGCAAAATAGAACAAGACGAAATATCTCTACAGCAAAAGATCTGAAGAGAAAACAGTGTGGTTTCAGAACATGTAGAGAAAATAACAACTAGGAAAATATATCTAAATAAGTAGTGACAAACAACAGGTTTTTCATTTATTATTAAATAAATAAATAAATAAAAAAACTAAACTAATTAATCTAACCTGTGCCATTGTGGGTTGCTTCGCAAAAAAATTATAAATAAAATTAAAAAAAAACTAACTAACTCAACCTGTAGCATTAATTTTTCCTGTGATATTTTGACCCAGTGCTTTTTTAAATTCTCACTACTATCATTACTCTTATACATCTTGACACCATTTTTCCAGGTGCTACTTCATCTGATCGCTTTTTGTGAATGCACTGTTTTATCCTGGCGATGTTTCTTTTACGCTATTCTATCCCATGATAAATTGTCTTGCAATATTCAGATATCCATAGCAAACTAAGCTAATGACTTAATTATTTTCTTAAATGTTTGACATGTAATTGTCAAAAACTTGAAGTGATATGTCTATAAAGTCTAGTGTAAATCATGGAATTAATAATAAATATGGCATTAGAATTTGTCACTTTTTTAATAGTTTGTCAATATGTATCCCCATTTACATGTTACATGATTATAAATTTGTTGTACAAAAAAATTGGATTTTTAAGAAGGAAACAGGTAAAAAAAATTTATTAAAATGTTAAGACTTAGCTTCGTATATTTATAAAACTTACCATTATAGACTTGTTACCCATTTTTGACTGAGGATAGCATTTTGTAACGGCTACAGCACAACTTAGTCCAGCTAATTCCATTAATTGGTCAACAGAAAAAGAATATTCATCAAATAGTTCTAAATCTATCGATTGTGCTTCTTTCTGCCCTAGATATCGCACCATTTTTGGATGCATGGTTGAAAAAGACCTTTTAAATGTTTCTTTTATTACCTGCAACAAAATCATTATATTATAACAAAACTAACATTCAGAAAATTCAAAATTCAAACCTTTTTTATAAATAAAATAAATTATCGAGCCGAACCACACAACACAAAAGTCAATGTCAAATGTCAAAATAAATTCAACAGTGTTGCCAGAATATAAAAACAGTTTGTAGTAATGACTCTTTTAATGAAACGTAACATTAAATAGGTCTTTTCCTTTGCATCGAAAGTGTAGCACTGGGCTACACCAATTCTGAAAATATCGTTCCATATATACAAATTGTATGGATGGAACGAAATTTTTAGAAGTGACGTAGCTCAGTGCTACACTTTCGATGTAAAGGAAAAGACCTAGTATTTGTAATACATGATGCCGTTTTTCCTAGCTATGGCCTTCATCAAAACACACGTGGCTTGTTCGATAAAATATAAGCGCTATAAGTTATTATCCCGCTCATTTTCAACCTAACTTTACCTAATGACGGCTTTTTCCTCAATTTCAAGATTACCCACCTAAAGAGATAAATACTACAGAGCATTTAGAGTGTAAAACGCTTTCTTCTTGAAGACCGATCTCTAACGTACAAGTACTGTGAACTTTTATAAATATGCTAAATAGCTATTTCATGTAAGCAATTACGAAATGTCTTATTTTATATAACAAGTGAATATTTGCGGGACGAGCAGAGCGAGTTACTTTTAAAACGGCATTTCGTATACAATATTTTTTCTAATTTTTGACTATAAAATTGTGTTTTGGTAAAAAATTACCGACATCTAGGCAACCAATATTACTTTCTTGTATTCTTAGTTGTATATGCATAACTTTATTCATTTTATTGTCAAAAAGAAAATCGTATTAATTTATTTTCAACGGCTTGTAGTGTGTTTATATTGCTTTTGTTAAAGTTATTTAGTTTTCAATAAAGTGGGGGATTTTGTCGTATATTCTGTTTTAATTATTTTGTGCTCATTTGAAAAATTTGGACCAAAACAACATTATTACTAGGTTGTAAGTTTAACCAAATTCAATTTTTATAAGTCAGCATGTCCTTCTCTGATATAAACGTTCAATAATAATGTATATATTTTGAATTTAAAACCAAAAAAGTTTATTTTTATTTGTTTTTTTTTTCGCAACTTGTGACAATGAATTTTTCGTAATCAGGTTCATAATGTTTAATATTATTCAACTGGTTACGTAAAGTAGATCATTTTGTTACTTGCTGCGATTACGAAAAATGTCATTTTATGTAAAAATTAGAAAAAACATTTTCGTCGATTTTGATCATTATGAGAAAAAGAGTAATATATAATATTTAAAAATTAAATTGTTCTAATAAAGATTACCTTACTACCAAGGCCAAAAAGTAATACATTTTACTACAATAAAATTGCGATTTCTAAAGGTTGGTTTGTACTTTCTTTCTTGTCGCTATTACGTTGTTTTTTTTTTTTTTAATTAAAAATGATATACTATAGTATGGGCTGAAGTTTAAAAGGCTTTTGGTAGGTAGAAAAGGAGTAAGCGTCAAACCCAACGAACTTCTTCGAGAATCTCGCGGTAATATTTTTCTCGTTTCATAGAATAAGTAATTTTAAATTGTTACCGACGGAACCGGACAATCGCATGTATTTAATTACATTTTTTTATTATTTTAATCAACTCGTTTTTTTTAACGATGTTCTTTTGAGCAACAAAATGTTCACTATCAATCACGTGTTCACAGAGATGCTCAATGGTCACACTCACATAGCTCAAAATGCTCAAATCGTATTTAAACTTAAAACCTTTCTCAATCTAACCCATATATACTTATTCATCCTGTTCTTCCTAAAATCTATTCCTCACATTACACATTTTAAAATATGTAGGTATTATATTATACGACTTTAACAAGGATAAAATTGAATTATGGGGGTTTCCGTCACACGTTTCTAATTATGAAGTCTAAAGAGTAGAAGGCGAGTCGGCAATGGTCAAATTTCAAATTTTCTACCTTTTTATAAAGTTCGCGAAATTGACTATAATTGGCATGTCGAATAGCAGCGGTGTGAAGTGTGAAGTGATTTTTTAAAAAATTGGTGAAAAGAATCAAAATAATGTGAAAAAAAGTACCTGAGTACAAGTAATATGAGTGACCAAAAACATCAAAGCAAGATTTACGTCGTTCCAAATTGTAAAACAGGATGCAAACCAAATGTAAAACTAAAGAAAACACAAGGAGAAATCAATTCAATGTCTTTTTAAAGCTTCTAATGCAAGTAAAATAATGTATTTATGTCTAAATATAATATTTATTGTAAACTAGTCACAATATGTATCTTACGGAGTGTAGTTATTTTATTACAAGTTTCTATGATATAAAATTTTACAGTCATAGATCCTGACTTACAAACAACAATAATTGTACATTAAATTTAGCTTACTAGAAAAGAAAATTTATTTTTTAAACAGTTTTAATGTTATATATAAAGACTTGCTACTGTTATTTTTTTGTTGAACCCCAATTGTGTCATTGTAAATGTTTTTTATAGGATACTAAACGATTAGAACAGTGGCAGCATATCGTTCCTAGTGCCGATAAAGCACTTTCTAGAGATGATGCTGTTATATTCTTTTTAGAAGATGTTATCAAATATTATGAGATTATTTTTACAGATGGTACTGTTAGCAAAATAAAAAGGGGAAAGCTGAAATTAAAGGTAATACCATGTACATTCCCAAATCTCCCTTTATACTTGTATTATAATAATAAAAAATCTGTTAACTGTGTCTTATTTTGCTCTTAAAACTATACACAGGTTCAATTCAAAAAAAAAATTGCCACAAAAATGTACTTATCAAATTTCAGCACTTAACAAACCTTTTCTAATTTGGTCATACCTACCTATATTTTATAAAGGTAACATTAAATAATGTATCAATTAAAACATGCAAGACTTATTTAGAAATAAATACAACCGTATGTTCTGTGCTTTATTTTGCTACAAACAAGTTTATTTTTATTATTTTGACAAAATTATATTAATTATAAAAGCTCAATTAGCGTGCGATTTTTGGGACCGTATTTTGAGTATGCCGATTCGCCTTCTTTTCTCTAGTCTTCATAGTATTAATATATTGATCACTTTTTTGTCAATGCGACAATTCTTCTTCTTTTGTTGATATCAACTACCTTATGCTTATTTTTTCTTGTAGCCTTCATAATTTTCATCGTTCAGATTTCCTTAATAACCCTTTTTTCCTAAATATCCTTTTTCCATCAGGTATATTTCTATTTTACTAAGTTAAGAAAGAAAATATATGACTGAATTATTGAATTTTTAATAAAAGAAATATAAATAACTATTCGGTTTACAAAAGTATGTGGCAAAAATAATCTACCTTTTGATGCCAATTCTAAACCAGCTTTTACCGTGAGCATCGGATATCGTGCCCACTACGGCAACACTGAACACATTTGACATTTGTCACTTGTCACATTGCCAATGACAGTGACATTTCTTAAGCCACGTGCACACAATAGTCAGATCAGAAGCAAAATTCCTTCTCGAGCTCGAGTATGTAATGTAAATATGTGTATTTTACACATGAATAAAATTAGTTCATTAATCTCATGCAAAATATAAGAGATTTCGATAATGTGCCATTAAAGAAAACTTAAGAAGGCTATGACAATTACCTACGGATAAATTCCAAATATATTATAACTATTTTCTCAAGTTCAAAGACAATCCTATAGTATACATACGTCATAAAAGTTCAAAGTGCTCCATCAACTTAATATAATACAAAAAACTATAAAGATCTAAAATACAGTTAGTCTATAGTGAAGACGTATCTTGTCCAAGAAAGTGTAGATAACGGCTCTAATTAACCGAATTTTAATTTGTGTTATTTATCAATGTTCATCATGTTTAGAGGTATGGGTTGTATATATAGAACAATAATTTTAATATTTAACACTCTGGTTTCATGATTGGTAAGGTCAAGGTCAAAAGTGGCAAGCAAAAATTAGAATTGGTACATTTAAATAAAAATGGATGTTAGAGTTAGGTCTCAGTCAAGCTAGTTCTTACCAGTAATCTATACTGATTTTTATTAGTGTTATTTATTGTAGTTAATACCTCTGCTAATGGCGCCTCACAGTTGTAAGGGTTGTTTAAGAGATATAATTGCATCAAGAATGTCTAAAAAAACTGATAGTCCTGATACACCAATGGATATAAATGGAATAGAGGATACTTCTCATAATCCATGTAAGTAGATATCTTTTTAGTGTTGGTCTTTTTAATTTGTTTTGATAATAAAACCTGGAATGGGTGATGATTTTAAATTTTTCCATTAAGAGTAAAAAGTACTTACTTAGTACCTCTTTCAAATCAATGTACAATGGTGAATAGAGCATTATCGTTTCAACTGTTAAAAATTAGACCGAAGAGACAGACCTCTCCAAAATTCATCAATTCATGTTCCTTGGGCAACTAAAGTATAATATTTTTAAAATAGGGTAGTACCTTACTCCTGTGGACCAAAAAGAATGTAACAAGGAAAAAATTGTTAATATTGTTTTCAATAATTTGCATTGATTTTTTTTGTTTTAAATAAATTATCATACAAAACATTACCTATAGTTATATAAATCATTTATTTAGTCAAAATAATATTTTTTATATGTCAATACATCTTCACATTTAAAATATAAAAAATACATAAGTATAGAATCAACATACATTTAAAATACACTAAAAAATAAATAAGATACAGTACACTTACATCTAACTATTCAAAAAAAAAGAACAAGACAGAAGAAAAAAACGTCAATTCAATTGGTCAACAAGTTCTCACGCAGTTTTCTTTTAAATATTGCTGTGTTTGAAGAACATTTAATATCTTCAGGCAAATTATTAAAAGCCTGTGCACCTTTAAAAAACACTGAATTTTGTGTACATTTTTTCGTGGCCTTATAAACTAAAATTTTTCTTATTTCGTGTATTGTGTTCATGAACATTCTGATTAAAACTTAAAATATTTTGTAAATATACTGAGGAGATTCCTGATTTAATCTTAAATATAAATAGCAGGGAATAGAATAGCAAATATTTTTTAACAGGCAACCACTGAATCACATTCAACATGGAATTGATTGGTTCCAATCTCGAACAGCTCAGTATTATCCTCATACCTCTATTCTGCAACTTTTGCCATCTTTGCAACTAATTCTGGTTGAGCAAATACAATATAGTGGCACAATAATAATTTATTTTATTATTATTTATTAGCCATTCAGTTTACAGTAATTTAAATTACAAATTATTACATAAATATACACAATAACTTAAATATAAACAAGGTATCCTAATTACCTAATAGTGCAACTTAAGTTCACTAGTAGCCTAACATTCAATGTAATCAAGAACTTATAAATTAGAAGACAAAACTTTTAATGGTCTAATTTTGAATATTCATTTTTTCTGATTACTAGGAATTAATTAAACCTTGTCTCCTGGTTGCATTATTGAAAGGAGAGGAAAATAAATAGCTATGCAGCTCAAAATGGCAAGTTAATATGCTGTGCGTGCACTTAATGATACTTATATACATTCTTAGAAAGAGGTTAATTAGATAAAAATCACTTTTACTTAAAATTACCCGCAAATATATTAATAGTTCGAGAAGCAAATACTGAAAATGAATAAATTTTAGTATTAGAGAACTTATATTTATAAAAGACAAGTAGGTAATCGAAAAATTTGTTTCAACTATTCATTGGTTTATCCTCTTTTTGATTTTATGATATGACTTATTTTTAAATTCCTGTGGTAAACAATTATATACCTTAGAACCTACACAATAGATATGGTTCTGACATGCAGTATGTTTAGGATTTTGAAGCCATAAATCTTTTTTAGCAGTCAGTCTAGTATTAATGCTATGAGACAATCCTTGTTTAAAATGGTTTCATTTTTAACATAAATCTGATTATCAATTTCAAATAAAGTTGATAAGGAGTTAGTAAATTACTATCTCTATAAACCAGTTGGGTTGAATATCTTCTGTTTTTAAAAAGCATAATTTTAATTATGTATTTCTGTGCAATTTGTAACTTAGAGACAAATGTACTACCAGCATTACCCCAAACAACTAACCCGTAGTTTATGATTGAATCTACAAGACAGAGATAGACAGCTTTTAAAATTTTTGGAGAAAGAATGTTGAATAATTCATAGAATTTAAAAAAAAAAATTCTAATCTTTCCGGTGACATTGTATATGATCTTTCCATGTGAGATTTTCGTCAATGAGTACTCCCAAGTATTTAATGTTATTTGATCGTTTTATAGTATTTTTACACTGACAATTATTATTGACATGTTTGATCAAGAAGGATGATTTTGTGAAAATTAGATGTTCTAGCTGAAAGAGAGAAAGCCAAAAATTTTGTTTTATCAATATTTAGGGATAGTAGACTACTATCCAACCATTTTTTTAGTTTAAACATGGCCATATCTGCCTGTTTTAATGTTATCAGCCAATCCTGCCCACTTATTATGACAGCCATGTCATCGGCAAAGCAGTAGACATTCCCCTCATTTATAGTGGACAAAATACCATCTACATATATATTAAATAAATTAAAATGAGGTAATATTAGAGTATTATAAATTATTATTTTAGCCCATTTGCTGATATGCTTCTGATGACGTTATTATAGGGTTGCCAGACGTCACGCTTTTGGCGTATTTGCCACGCTTTTTGACTTGCTCGTACGCGCAACGCCACAGTACGAAAAAGCCACGCTTTTGACAAAAATGCCACTCTTTTTATGCAAATGGCACACTTTTATACAAAAATAAACAAATCTGCGGGTAAAGGACCCTCTTTTTTACGAAATATAAGGTGAGACTTTTTTTTTTAGAAATTTCACAAAAAAGGACCTGATTATATAAAAATGCTTGGTAATTAAACCTAATGCTCTGTCGTCACGGTTGTCACGCTTTTCACTTTCGGAAATCTGGCAACCCTACGTTATTAGCATGTTCCTTAAGTTGTAAATTTGTATCAACCATAACCCCTAGATATTTAAATTTTTCAACTTTCTGAAACTTTATTCTATCAACAGAAACACATTGTGATGCTACATTTAATTCTTTTAAACAACAATTAACATCAACTTTATCTTTTCATAATTTATTTTCAACGAGTTTCCGTTACAATAGTCATATATTTTACTTATAGACCTATTAATTTCTTTAAAACAAGTTTCAGTGTTTTCATGGGTAAAATATGTCAGTGTATCATCTGCAAATAAGTGTATTGAGCATCTTTCTACTACACCAGTAACGTCATTAATATAAATTAAAAACAGTAGCGGACCTAGAACACTACCCTGTGACACCCCCATTTTATTCTCTATAGTATCTGAAACACAATTACTTACCTTAACCTTCTGTTTCCTATTTTCCATATAATGACCCAACCAGTCCAGTGCACAACCTCCCAAACCAATAGCTCTTAATTTCATTAATAATCTACCCCTATTAATAGTCTCAAATCTAAAAATATCGCCAGTGTAACCAAATTATTTTCAATTGATAACTTCCAGTCGTGCAACACCAACTGCAAAGCAGTTTCATAGTTGTGTTTACTACGGAATCCTGATGCACATTACTTATCAAACTGTTCCCTCTTCAATCAATAAACCTACCTCTATTTTCAATAACTATCGTTTCCCTTTTCTGTTTTTTTTTTGTTTGTTTAGTTTTGCAATAATATTTCTGTGACTACTGATTTTTGATGTGTCTATTACTTCAGTTGTAATGTCTGAATTTCTAATAATTAAATCAATTAATGATCCTCCATGAGTATTTGCATGTGTAAATTCTTTTACCACATTCTTAAAACCTGTATCAGTAACAATATTTTTTAATCTTTTTGAATAAGTTGAATTACTATACCAATTAATATTGAAATCCCCAACCAAAATAACTTGTTAGCATCAGTTAAATTCAGCCTACACCATCCTTCAAAAAAGTCTAGAAACAAATTAATTCCAGTACTATCATAAACTTTTTATTATTATGTAAGAGTTTTACTGAAATGAATCGATAAGTCCTATCTAAAATTACTTTGTTAATATCTAAAATTAAAATTTGTAATTTCTGATTCACATAGACGATAACTTAAAACAACTTGAAAACATCAGATGTGACCGAACATGAAAAAAAACGCCTATTTTCAAGAAAAAAATGTTCAGTTACATTTAATTCTTTAGAAGAGCAAAATAAGTTTTAAGGTACCATTTGGGTAGGCACGTCAAGAGACAAGCGACCACTGATGCGACCCCAAGGTCGAGTAGGACGACAGATGCATAAATGTTACGCTTGGTACATTTCGCAAGCTTGAGAAGTGTCGCGCGACACTTACAGGATAACCATTCGAGGGAACGATCAGCGTTGCCAGACCTACTGTTTTCACGTAGATCTACTGTTTTTGTCTCTAGCAAATTTTGTTCTTAATTTATTAAGTTTGCCTCATTCTTCAGCAAATGGTTAAAGAATATTTTCTCTAGTAAATTTTCTGCAGTAAAAGCAGCGTAATAAGCATCCACTACTCTAGGTTGGCTCCATAAAAAAAACATCAAGATAATCATTGTTTTTATTTAAAATGAAACAAAGAATTAATAGGGCATCATAAAAAGAACATGCACACTACGATTTTGAATTATCTGATTCAGACTGAACTAAAAGAAGTAGATACCTATTTTTTTTTTGTTTCCGTACGTTAAGTATATATTAAAAATTTTATTATTTGTGTTTATTCTTTGTTTACCTTCTAATTTGGGTCGAAAAAAGTTTATTTTTCGTTTCTTATATACTTGTTTTTTTATTTACTACACTGCAAATTTCAATTATTTCCCCCTGTATTAAAATCTACTGTTCAGATCTACGGTTTTTTTTTTCACCCATACTGTTCCAAAAGATCGAAAGAAATTTTCAACCTATTCACCTCCAAGCAATGAAGCGATGCTCGAAGACAGTGACCTCGAGTGCGACAGGCAGCAAACCTTTGCCCCGAGTCAGATTCAGAAGTGTCCCCAGGAAGTGTCTCGCCGTGCGAAATGTGTTTCATATAATTGTATGTATTTTCGATGTGAAGCGACACTTCTCGGTCGCGTCGGCGGTCGTCTGTCGCGCCTACCGAAATGGTACCTTTAACTCACCTTTGGAAACAATTTTTGTAAAACTTAAACTACACGG